ACCCGGCGGCCCGGCCATGCGGTGCGGGGCGCTCCCGCCGCCCGCCCTCCTCCTCCCGCTGCTGCTGCTGAGCCTGCCGGTGAGTGCCCCCGGCCCGCGGGTGCTGCCGGGCCTGGGGATCCGAGCGCAAGTCGCTTCCGCAGCCCTGGCCCAGGCGGGGCGCTGACCCAGGCTGCCACTCGCGAGGACTTGAGTCATTGCGGGGCCCGGGCCGGTCCCTCCCCAGCTCCTGCGCCTTGCCATCGCTCTAACAAGGCAGTGGGAGCCGGACCATTCCCGTCGCTCAGCACCCAGCAAGTGGTCAATGCCCGGGCCAGAAACCTGGAAGCCCCTCAAGATGCAGCAAGGGGCGTTTAGGTTAGATAGGAGGAGAAGCCTTCTCCTGAGGAGTGTAGTGAAGCCCTGAAGCAGGCTCCCCAGAACAGCTGTTCAGTCTCCATCCTTGGAGGTTTTTAAGAAGCAGGTAGACAAAGTCTTGGCTGGGATGACGGTCCTGCTTTGAGCAGCAGGTTGGACTAGATGCGACCTCCTGGGGTCCTGTCCAACCTTCATTGTCTATGCTTGTAGACCTGGCCAGGAATCGTTGGGCCAGATACTCAGGGCAGTGTGGCACTTGCACTCAGGATCACCCTGTCAGAGCAGCTCAACACCCAGTGCTGGGAAGCGTAGCTCTACTGACAGTCTTCTTGGACTGCCTAAGGTAGAAACTTTTCACAACTGGTTCCGTTGGTGGGCCCTGAGCCCCTGATTTGTCTGAAACATCTAGCTTTACACTTCTAAATCATCTTACCTTCCTACATATTTATTTCCTTGTTTTCAAAAAACTACCAATTTTAGGTTATTTTTTTTCCATAAACAGGAGGGGGCAGGTTATAAGAGGTTTTTATAAACCTCTCAACCAGGTCCTTTATCTCAGCATGAGAATTTATCATCAGAACATTGCGTGCTGGCTGCATCTGATTCCCTTACAAAAGGCCGTGTGCGCACCTGCGTGCAATCTTGGTTCATGCTTCAGATTCCCATCTTTGCCTCTGGCAACAACAGTCCTACAAATTGTGAAGTAGAAAATGCCACATAGATGATTAACCCTGTGGAGATACTGATCTCTTGTAGCCTGTTGAAAAAGGATCCTCAATCATTTTAATGATTTAATTCCCCTTTACACAAAATTAGGACTACTGCTTTTTGGTGTACATAACTGAACAAACAAAGACTAAGTTATTAAATTAGTGCAATAAAAAGCTTTGTATGTGAGGTGCCATTAACATAACTGCTTTGATTCCAGAGGGCTTCCGGTGTCTTTGATATCTCCTGTTTTACCTGTAACTGTAGGTTCTCATACTGCATACGCTCAGAGTGGTGAATAATACTGAGCTTTAATGGCACCAATTACATTTATTAACTTACTTTCAGACACTTCTGGGAATCTGCTTTGGTTCCTTGGGCTCCCATTGAAGTCAAATATCTTTTTGCTATTTTTTGCTATTTATATGCATGGAAGCAAAGTGAGGCTCTTTGTGTCCTGCTCCTGATTCTCGGCCTTTTTCACTCATCTTACAACATAGAGTAGTATGAAACAGTTGGGTTTTCACACAGAAAGTACTGGGTCATATTCAGTCTTGTGTAAGCTGGTGAAACATCACTAAGGTCAGTCCAGTTCTGCCAGGGTTAAAAAGATCTCAGTAACAGTTTTATCCCAGATTTTAAAGGAAAAATTAATCATGTCCACTCATTCTTTTTCCTTTGTTGCTGCCTTGTATTTGCATTGCATTGTATTTCCTTTGTTGTTGCATTTGTTGTTCCTGTGATGTTTCAGAACCTCACTGATCAATGATATTTCTGATAAACTCCTTTACTCATTGCTGATGAGTCTGGCAAGTTGATAGAAGCCACACAATCAAATTCAGCAGCATTAATAAAAAAATTATAGTCTTTTTGGATGTGAAAATAACCTTATGGACGTAAACTTAATGCAGTATTGTCTTCCCATGACTGCAAAGCAGGACACAAGACAGTTTCACTATTGCTGTTTGCACGCACATAAGCATCAGTGAAACTGTCAAAAATCATGCCTCTGTGGCACTGCTGCTATTTGAGGAGGTTAGGAGCAGCTACAGAAAGAGGAAGCAAAGATTTTCACAAGTAAGGAAAACTTTGGGATGAAGGCTAAGATGAAATGTAGCAGAGATTTCCTCTCAGTTACAGCACCTGGGATAGCTACCGAGGAATAAAACTGGTAGAAACACATCCCACTCTTCTCGCCTCAGCTAAAAAAGAATGTGTTCTTCTTTATTTCATGATTCATATTTCTTTTTATCCTCCTTTTGTTGTCTGGCCACAGGTCTTATTTAAGGTACACCATTCAAACCCTGCCTCCAAGACAGATTTTCTCCAGCCCAATTTTCTCATGGGCTTTTATCATGAGGTTTCCAATGGTGATTTCCTGTGTCCCTCACAAACATTAATGAATTTATTTTCACAGCACTCTAAAAGAGGAGTGTCTGTCCATTTCCAGGCAAGGAAGTATGGCACAGATAGAAAAATGGTGAAATTGCCAAAAGAGCCCACTCATTGTAGATGCACAAATTGAGGTACCTTGGCCCTGACTTTTCAAAGAAGTTGGTATTTTAGTATATTCAGAGTGCAGCTCTCAGGGGTTTCTGTTGCAGTTGTGAGTGCTCAACAAATTTAACCCCCAGGAATGAAGGGGGAAGGAGGGAAGGTGAAGTGGTAAGGCACACAGTTTGCTAGTGGGATTTACAGCTGTTGATAGCAGAGGACTCCTGGATTCCATCCCAGTTTTGGAAGGGAATTTTCTTAAGAGATTATTGACCCTTCTACTCCCATGCTCCCAGTTTATCTCCTCCCTCTCTGTTCCTGTCAGCCTCATGCCTCCACTTTTATGCTCACATATGCTTCTCTGCTCACCTCTGGTCCTACCACTGCCATCTGGCTTCTGCCCTTTATGCTTCTGTCACCTGGGCTCCTGCAACCCTCCCCTGCTGTGTACCCTCACTCCCTCCCATTGTACACCATGCTGCTCCTTCCCCCACCCTTACTTCTCCAGCATGTCTCTTTTTGTCAACATTCCTGCCTTTTGCATTAAAACAGAGTTCCTCTGTTGCCTGCACACCTGCATCAGTAGCAAATGAAAGACCGTCTCTCTGCTGTCAGTCAAGATGCTGAGTACCACAGTGGACCCTGGCACTCAGAAGCAATCATGGGGAGAGTTCTGCTTAGCCTTTACAATTCTGGGATGAAGCAAATCACATAATTGGGGATGGCAGATTCTGGCTGGAGCTGGGAAGAGGGAGAGGGTACTAAGCACAAAAAGGATCTTTAGAGAGATTAGCTGCCAAACTGTAGTCAGACTTGATTGAGCACATTCAAACTGAGAGTGTTCAGAGGCTTTTAGTTTGGCCAATTTGGGTAAATATTTACATGGGAGTCAAGAGGCATAATGCTGACACTAAAGTAATTCCCACCTAATTTCAAGTTCATTTATCTACGGCTTCTCAATATGAACAATTGCAAGGATATTTTAACATGGCAAAATTATGTATTTTCTTCTAATCTCAATCTCAAAATTTTCTGAACTACATTGAAAAAATCACCTGAGACAGACACCCAGCATAGATTATTTCAGTCCAGGTTGTGAAAGTTTGACCAGCAACTGCAAACAGGGCTTTGTAATGGAAAGTCTCATCTACAAAGGGTCTAAGGCTACAACGCTGTAAACAGCAACAGCCTCAGTATTTTAAACAGTTAAAATTAATCAGATGTGATCAGACCAAAAAGTACTGGTAGATATGCCTGCCAACTTGTAAAATTCACAGCAACCTGAAGATCTTGGACACGTCAGGCCAACTGTTGAAAGTAAATTGTAAATTCTTCTGCAGAGAAGAAACAAAAGGAAAAGGATTAGCTTTACAGAGAACTGCAGAATTACCTGGGGAGGTGATGTATTGCCCAAATGAAACCCCTCCAAAATGTGTTCTCCTCCATCCTTACAAAGGAGTTAACACTGAGTAAATAACAGCTGCTGTGCTTTTCATCCGGGTTTGTAAGTGAACCATTATGACCCAGTGTATTCCTTAAAGTACATTTGAAAATCACTTTTAATGCTATATGAATATGAATTAATCCTCACAAAACTCTTGTGAAGTGGGTAAGATGCTATTCCTATTTTACAAATTACTAATTTTAAAGCTACTGTTTAGTAACAACATTTATTTTAAAATGATTCCAATGAAGCTGGCAACAACAAAATGAGCAAAAGCTGGTAAATTACAGTAGGTGTTTTGCAATAAGTAATTAGTACTTCTTAAAGTCAGTCTTTTTGCATTAGATCCCATGCGAGACCCTTGTGTACATGATACCTGGGGTTTGTTTGTTTTTCTTGTTGTTAAATCCTAAGAATTTAAAATGGGTCAGTTTTCTTCAATAGCTCGTAGTAAATTTCTTTATGTTGTGTCTAAGTACTTAGTTTTAAATTTGCAATTGAAATATCATTGTTGAAAACATATTAATAATCAGTGTAATTCAGGGAGGTGGAGTTAACATTATATATTTTTTCTCCAGAATTTTTTGCCATCATTTGGAAAGGAGACACTGCGGACAACATCAGTTACTCTACAGTCTGAGCTCAATATAGCTTATGAAGATTTTATTCATCTTAACATAGTAGAAAAGAAAATTGTTAATGATTCCAAAGTTTCAGTTCAGTATTTATGTTCTAAGCCCTGCATTGTCAACTTGGAAGCTGTAGCTTCCTCGGAGTTCAGAACTGGTGTGTCAGTGTATAGGAAGAGATGGAAGAATGAGAAACAACTTCATATCAGTAATACTCGAACACTGCAGTTAAAATTCCCAAGCATCATGGTTTACAGAGATGATTTCTTCATCAAACACTCCGTAATAGTGGACGCTGTGATACTGTATGCATGGATTAGTCACAAACCTATGGGGAGGTATGATGCTGTGGGCAATGAAAGCTACCAGCAGGCAGTTGCCAGGAATTATACTTTTCTGGAAACAGTTCCACCTCTTGAACGCCCATACAAAGATCACAGAATATGCTGGAAGTGGGGCTCTGAATATATATGGAAGCTCCAGGCAAGTTGGATACCTCAGTGTCCTCATGAGGATGGTAAGTATTATTGCCATTTTTGTTTAATGGAAAGCTAAGACCAAAATGACATGTTCTTTAATTTGCTGAGAAAGGGTGTATTTATGAAAATATTAGTGCCAAAAGAATGTACTTTTGGTGGCAAAATGTGACTGCCTACATTGTGAAATATTCCGCATTAGTTTCATAATAGCATGGGCAAACTCATAGGCTAGGTACAGACGTTCAAAAAGCCTGAGGCAGAATCAATCTAAGTTATGTGGTTTTCTGTAAGTAGCGTAGTTTATATTGGTAGCGAACAGAATACAGAATACACAGGGAAAATCTTAGACCAGGTTCTACCATTTTTAAACCTGTCTATGTGTACCAAACTTCTGTTCTGTTATGGGTATACACTGGTTTTGTGTGCCGAACTTCTGTTATGGGTATAGACCAGTTTCTGATCACTTATACTGGTAAAAGTGTAACGTGTGTACCTGACCATAGTGCCAAAGCAACACAACAATTTAGAGCTTTAACTGAATCACTGAAATCAGTTTCTGTTGCCTTCCATAGACTTTCACTTGGAGCCATAGTGCACTGTTCTAGGGCTAATCCTGCAATTTTACATGTGTAATCCTTATAGAAGTAATTTAGGGAGTGCTAACCACAAATTAGGCCATGAACACCACATGTCCATGGTGGCGCTGGTGGCAGTGGGAGCACGGCAGTGGTAAGCGAGGGAGCTCCCGCAGATGCCACCAGCGCTGTCAGTGGCAGGGGTGGGACAGAGTGTGACATGCCACTGGCAGTGTCCGCAGCAGGGGGCAAGGAGGGAAAGCGGTGAATGCCTGCAGGCACCGCTGACACTTTTTGTAAAGGGTGCACCGCCACTCTCGGGGGGTGCACGTGCGCCCCCTACACATCGCCAGTGAGTTAGGTTGGAGGGGAGTGGGTAACACCTTTCTCATGAAGTTGATCCACTTTACCTTGCATTTAATACTCATTGGATAAAATGGATGGAGAGCAATGAAGAAGGATCAAAATTAAAAAAAAAAAATTATATTAAATTGGATATTTTTTAGTTGAAGTCATACTTTTTTTTTTAAATAAAGTTCTTAAAATTAAATGTAACATTTTGCTAGTCTGTGTTAAAGCCCAAATTTTCCATAATCTATTAAAATCATTTACATTAAATTAGAGTAATATTCAAGTAGCACTTGTTTACTACAGATGTTTTGAAATGGAAGTTACTTGCTGAGCACCTGGACCCAGAGTTTGTTGAAGTGTTAAACCAGCTTTGGGTAGCCTCTTTGAGAGGTGCAGGTGGGCAAATTATTCAAAGTAGTTCATTTAAAGTTGAGAAACCAATCTGGACATGAAAAAGCAGGAAGTATATTTGTTTTCTTTTTCTAATCTATAAATAAAAGTGAGATGTGAAAGGTTGAGATCTGAGCGTTCTAAAGTCTAACAGGCAGAGTGATCAGAAACAGTTCAATTTACTAACTACAAATCATTTTTATTTTGTTTAATAAATCAGGTTAATATCAAATGATAGACATCCTAATTAGCTTACACAGTAACAGAAATATATTCATGGTGTTTCTGTGCATTTTAATAGAATTCCATTTTCTATCCAATTGCAGCCTCACACAAATAAGAAGATAAAAAGTGGATCATCTCAGGCATAAAAATGTATCATTTACAAATTTTGTTTACAATAAAATTATAAAAGTTTGGCCTCTAAATAAATGTCTGCTTTGCATGTAACTGTGGAAGTAACTGGGTACAGTGGTAGGATATCTTCCCAATTAGCAGAAATAAGTACCACATTTACTATAAAAATGATGTGTAATTGCAAAGCAACTTGTTTTAATAGCTACCAATGAAAGAGAATACTGAATTATGTGGAAAATTAGCTAAAAAACAGCACGGCTATAAAAGATTAAAATCAACTATTTAAATCAAGTTTTCTACTTGTACAAAACAGCATCCAAATGGTTATTTTTATCACACATTTAAATCACTCTACCCTGTCCTCATTTGTAAATATAGGCCTGAAATAGACTCCATGCTCCTTCCCCTCCCTTGAGCTACTCTTTAAACATCTGCAGTCTTTTAATAGAAGAAAGGTGAAATAACAAGCATGTGTGGATTCATTAGCTCTTATTTTTTTATTCTGTGTTACCAGATCACTGATTTAAACATTTGAGGGTTTGAACAAAGGTCATTAATAAGGATTGTCTCTAACCCTGTACCTTTTCTGGCAGATTAAGAATTATTTCATTTTACAGATGCTGTCCAGATCCTCAATTTTCTGTATGCATCCACTGGAGAGAAAACAGGAATTGTGAAGAAATTTGAGAAATTTAAGAACAAAGAGCTTGAGACAATCAGACAGCATCAGATCGATTACCCGGTGTAAGCAAGTGCAAATAACTGAAGATGGTTCTTGACAAGCCCTGGTGTTGTTTATAAGGTTTCTCAGTATAGAATAGACAGGAGAGTAGCTAAACCAGATAGATTTGGCCTCACTCCCCTTGCTACTTAGTCCTTGTGTAAATTCTCCAGCAGTACTGGAGTAAAACCTCTCAACCCCTTATACTGAGGTCTCATAGAGCAGTGGTATATTGTGAAGAACACTTTGCCTGCAGGCTCCTAGGCCTCCTTGCAGGTCCTTACATGAGAGAAAGGACATCCACATTCCTCTGAATTTCTGACTGTAATCTCAATCCAGGGTATCAGTGTTAATGAAATACAGAATGCTCACTAGAGTCACATACGGGCTTTCATAGAATCATAGAAGTAGGGTCGGAAGGGACCTTGTAGATCTTCAAGTCTGACCCCCTGCCTGGGCAGGAGGAAAACTGGGCTCAAATGACCCCAGCCAGGTAGGCATCGAGCCGCTTCTTAAAGACCCCCAGGGTAGGAGCCAGCCCCACTTCCCTTGGAAGTTGTTTCCAGAGCCTAGCCGCCCTAACTGTGAAGTAGTTCTTACGGATGTCTAATCTAAATCTACTCTCCAACAACTTGTGGCCATTATTCCTTGTTATCCTGGGGGGCGCTAGGGGAAACAAGGTCTCCCCCAACCCCTTCTGGTCCCCCCTAGTGAGTTTATAGATGGCCACACGGTCCGCCCTCAGCTTTCTCTTGTGAAGGCTGAACAGGTTCAGGTCCCGTAGCCTCTCATTGTAGGGTCTGCCCTGCTGTCCCCAGATCATGTGGGTGGCCCTCCTCTGGACCCTCTCAATGTTGTCCACATCCCTCTTGAAGTGGGGTGCCCAGAACTGGACACAGTACTCCAGAAACTGGACACAGTACACAGTACTTTAAATAGCAGAAGACAAGAAGGATGGCTTGCCAAATGAGCTGAGGATCTGCCAGCTTTAGTAGCTGTAGACCCATGGGCTAGATACGGACATTAAGGAAGTCCAGGGCAGAATCAATCTAAGTTAGTGGTTTTCTATAAGTGGTGTAGTTTAGATTGGTAGCAAACAGAACACACATTCACTCTTGGGGGTGGGAGGGGGGCAAATTTTAGACCGGGTTCCACCATTTTTAAACCAGTATATGTATACCGAACTTCCGTTCTGTTACAGGTGTAAACCAGTTTTATGTGCCAAACTTCTGTTCTCTTATGGGTATAGACCAGTTTCTGATCACTTATACTGGTAAAAGTGTAAAGTCTATACCTGGTCTTTTGCATTAACAGTTTTTCATGGACTCAAGGAGGATGGAATAAGATTGCACTAGGTACCTAAGTCCACTGAGGCACCCTCAGCAAATATAATAGAATCTGGCCACAGCTCAGCATTATACCCTTCTGTAGCATTATAACTGAGATATGTAGAGACATGGGTGCTGAGTCACCACTGTGTTCCATAAAGCCTGTCAGAGGGGTCACTGCACACTTTTAGTCAGGAGATTAAGGGGAATGTAGCAGTTGACCACAGTGGTATACAGACCTGAGGAATGCCTACAAAAGGCACAGTCTTTACATGTAGATATTCACTGTATCAATCATTGTACAAGTGACTTACAAACTACTCTGCCTCTCCCACATGCATATAGGAGTGATGTAGCAATACACATTATATGGGGGCACAGGTTTTATTGAATAACAATTCATCTCCCATCCACTTATCAGGAGTTACCATTAGGTTGGATGACCCATGCTGTTTTAGTTTAAATGAAGTTACACACTGCCATACAATATTCAGTGTCTCTAAAGAACAACTTGATACAAGTAAATAAAAGTAACATATTTTAAACGCATTTAAAATGCATATTTTTATAAACTATAAAAATACGAGTATGATTGATTTCACTTTTTAAAGGCCATTAAAACTATACTGCTAAATGTAGTTTTCTGCCGAGTTATTCACCAGAGCTGGGATGTTCAAAGGACCCAAACCCTGGCCTAATTCTGCTCCAGTTGAAGTAAACAATAGCATCCCAGCCTATTGAACAGATTCTGCATTTTGTGTGTCAGACTCTCCACTGTGGATCTGCACCAGAATCAGCATAGTTTCTCCAGCTCAGTGAAGCATTTGATCCTGCTCTTGTGTTTATTGTTGTATGGTTTGCAAAAGCCACACCTTTATTTATCCTGCACAACCTTGTAACAGTTGCTCATGACCATGTTACAGAGGGTGGATTCCTATAATTCCTTCAAAGCTGACTTCCCACGGTGCATATCCTGTTTTTTAACTAGCACAGAATATTTGTTCAGTGGTTTCAGCAGCCAAGGTTACAAATGCACCCACCCTGAGGATGTTTGCCTACAGAACTGTGAGCTGGTTCTCATTTGTCACAGTTGATTTCCATACTAGTGTAGGATCTGGCAGTAGCTGAGATCTACTTCTCTGGCAGTGGCCTGATAAGTTTCTGTGCTCAGCTATTACCCACCTTTTGGAGATCTTTGCCATTAGGTTTTAGGTTGTAAAAAAGGGCTTTCCCCTTTTTCCTTTCAGAGTTTTGGTACCCAAGCACCCTAGCCACATGATCATCAGCCCCTGCACAGGAGCAAAAGCTAAGGGGCAGGAAGGCTGTTATGTCCTCCTCACTCCTTCTGTATCAGCAGAAAGGCTGGCTATGATCTTCCCATTGAAGATTTTGTAGGAATTTGCTCAAATCACTAGTGTAATCTATCACTATGAGTTTAAAATAGTCAAGTATTATATCTGATTTCTCTCTGTACTACATCAGTGCACAGAAGCAGAGAATCAGGAGCAAGAATCTTGGATTCTGAAGAATTCTGACAGCTCTAGGTTCTGTTTTGAAGATCAGTTTGTAAATTAAAGCAGAACAAGCACTTTTAAATTAATAACTTTTAAAACTCAAAATGATATTTATCTTTAAGAGTGGGTCAATTGTTTCTTTTTGCCCATGTAGGTTTACTATTTCAGTCTGGCTTTATTTGCTCCATCACTGCAAAAAGAACCTGTGTGGAATACTTTACTTTATTGACCCCAAAGAAATGTACAGTACCCCTGCTGTATTTCTCAGTGAAGAAGGTAAGTAATAGCATAAGGTTATCTATAGGAAATCTAATACAGTCTTCCCTGTGCCTGTAGCAAAGAACAGCATTTACAGGAATTTTTATTGTGTCTTTTTGTCAAATTTATCCCTCAGGGAATGCTTCATTTTAGGCCTTTTTCTGGGAACAGAAGATATCCAGAAGTCAGGTACACTTTGCTATGGATTGTCCAGATTTGACCAACTCAGAAAGTGTCCATTTTTTTCTAACTTTCCTTTCAAGACAATCCCACACTGAAGAACTAAAGGATTTAATAGAATGTTTTCACAGTGTTCAACATTATAGAAACACCATCCTTGAATGTGTAAATGGAGAAAAATTGAGTAGGAGTAAAGAACAACAGAAGTGAAGCTATTACTGGAATGTCGCACACAGTTCTCAAGTCCACAATTCAAAAAGAATGTTTAAAAATTGGAAATGCCTCACAAAAGGGCTACCATAATGATTCTTACACTCCTCAGTCTATTTATCTTATCTCCAAAAAGGTGCAGAGGTGACTGGATCAAAGTCTGCAAAGAGTAACAGAAAAAGTTGCTATTCACAGGTTGCAGCTACCCGTGCTATTAATGCTATAAAGGCTTACTGCACAGAAAAGTACTGCACAGTAAGCCTTCTCTGAGAGCACATCTAAACATGCTACCTGTTGAGAGTAAACATGCTACCAATGAGAGTAGCCCAGTACAGGGCTGCTCCTACCCTGTGCTGGTCCCCTGCAACAGCCAGGGGCAACTCTAGGCTCCCCTGGGGGATGGCCGGGAACACAGAGGACTGGTCCTGATGCACACAGGGCCAGAAGAGCTATGCTGGCTTCAGCAGCAGCTGTCTCCTGGACCTGTGCACATTAGGAAGGGTCCTGATGTGAATGGGGCCAGGAGACAGTGGCTGCTGCAAAGTTCTCCCAGCCACATGCACATGGGGACAAGCCCGTGCTCAGTGGGGCTTCACTGCGCAGCCAGGGGCTGGCCAGGTATTGTCCCACTTTTGGCGTGGCTCCTAGCCAGCCCCTGGCTGGGCAGAGAAATCCCTGAGTAATTAAGGGCTGGCTAGGAGCTGTCCCACTTCTGGGGCAATTCCCAGCCAGTCCCATGCTGGGCAGGGATTTCCCCAAGCTGTCAGGGGCTGGCCGGGAGCTGCCCCAGAAGCAGGACAGCTGCTAGCCAGCACCCTGCTGGGCAGGGAAGCAGAGTGCTCCCCAGTCTTGGAGCTGCTCAGCTCCCAGCTCCTGTGGGGAGCCAGCAGATGAGCAGCACTGGGATGGGGGGCAGAGAGCTACTCCATCTGAGCACAGTTCAGTTCTCGGCTCTTGTGGGGAGCTGGGAGATGAGTAGCAGCAGGATCGGGGGGAGTTCCCCATTCTCTTTTGCCCCTGGTGTTGAGGCTGACCAGGAGCAAATTTGCCCCTATTAAGTGTCTACACATGCACAGCATCTATATTTACAGGTAGCAGCTAACTGCAGCAGATGGTGCACACGTGTAGATGGTGAGGCTTTACTGTGCAGTAGATTAGTCTAATATGCAGTAAAGCATCTCATGTCAATATGCCCATAGAGAACAATTCAATCTAGCAGTCAAGGCTATAGCAACATCCAGTGACTAGAACTGTGGTTTTCTAGCTCTTTTCATTTGCAGACCCTTAAAAGATTTCAAATGGAGGTGCAGACCCCTTTGGAAATTTTGAATGGCATGCAGGCCTCTTTGGATTTTAAGTGTGAGTATTGTCATTTGATTGGTCATAGACATCTTTCACAGACCTTTTAGACATAGTCTGAGGACCCGCAGGGATCTGCAGACCACAGGTTGAAAACCACTGGACTAGAAGATGAATTCAGACAAATTCAGACTGGACATTTTAATTATCTGTGAATAATTAACCATTGGGATAACTTACCTTGGGGTGCAGTGGATTCTACATTATATAAATGTCTTACTCAAGAATTGACATTTTTTCTTAAAATGTATGGTACAGTGCCACTGGACGTTCCAGGCTTGATGTAAGAATCATTTGGAGAAATGCTATGGATTGTGTTATACATGACATTAGACTGCAAGATCATAACAATCCTGAAGACCTTATACCCATAACAGTGCCTGAAGACCTTAGATTCTGAATCTGACTTCTGCAATTCTAAATAAATACAGTCAAGTTTTCATCCTACTTCTTCATGTTATGTTAAATTCGACCTTTCTAGAGCCAGCATTAGTGCATGTGGCAAACAATATTTTCTTCCGTTTTTATACATCATTTGCTGTTCTTTCTCTCGGATCCCTTCAGGGTTTTCTTGAATGCAATGAAATTCTGCTTATGTATACCTAGAACATATGTCTCACACACGTTCAGCATTTCCTGTTGATTCTGGTACAGACAGGTGGCTGGTTGGTGATTTCTCAGATCTCCTCGTTGGTGATGAACAGGACAGGATTATTGTAAACAGCATTTTAGGAAGCCAGCTTTTAGCATTAGTATTTTCATAATTTTCTATTGCCTTCTTGTCCTTCATTGTTCTTTTGTCAGGTTACATTCATATTCAGATGCACCTTGTTGAAGGAGAAGACATTGCAGTGGTAACTAGTTTCAGCCTTCCTCTCAAACAGTGGTTTCGTCTAGATCTCTCTTTTGAGGGTGGACAGGTATGTGTGCTGGTACAGCTGCTGAATGATAGTAGCATGGTTGGGGTTTGCAGAGGGTTATTTATATTTGATTGTCACTAACAAACCCATTAATAAACTGGGCTGAGGGACATTCCCCGATGTACACATGTTCATACATCAAAGAATAAGAGACCCAAGATTTGAAATGACATATTTTGACCTGGGGCTAATGTTTATCACCAGTCCATACATACGAATCAATCACGGTGCATCCACATCACAAAGTTTTCCAGCGGTGATGTAAGTACTGGTGTAGACTGGGCTCTGATGTTTTCCCTGTTGTGCCAAGAAAACTAAGGCCATGTCTACATGGTAAATTTCCTGTGCCAGCAGCACCCTCAGACATGTTGTGCTGCCTCCTGTAACAGTAGAGCTGTATAGTGCTGCAGGTGAGCTAAATAACATAACAGCCATTTGCAGACACAGCTACATTGTTTCTAGTTTAGGAAGCAGCACCAGGGAGCTGTGTAGACATGGTCTAAAATATCTTTGGCCCTATTTAGGATTGAGTTAATGCTGTTTCTGGCTCTAGTGTAGCTGTGCAGCTGCTGGGAAAGAGTGACAAAGTTTTCTAGTGCAAACAAGGTCTTTGATGTTATGGTTCATTTTTTCCTCTTATTGAAAGTGCCTCAGTCTCCTCAAGTGCCTCCTGTCTCTCTCCAGTAATCCAAAAACTGCTCTAATCAAAGCAGCTCTCCTTTATATCTCATCCCAAAACCATATGCCTTCTTTAACTTGTTGCGTGCACGCTGAGAGCCAATAGAACACTGTTAAGAAGGACTGTGTTACAAAACCGATAGCCCATACACAAAATATTCTGTAAAGCCCTGTAATTTTAATTATATTTTTTTCACCAGACTATCAAAAAATACATCTGAGAACAAGGGATTGTTTCTTTGCCACCAACCACTAGGCCTATTACCACTAGAGCTATGTAAGGAAAGAAATGTAGAGACCTGTTTTGTTCAAAATATTTTAAAATGAGTTTATTAATTGAGAAGACAATCCTGGCAAATTTTACACCTGAAGCTAAAAGACTGATAAACTAGAACTAACATTTTACAATGACAGCACTTGTGTAACCTTAATTACAGGTATGTCCTTGCACTCCACCTATAATATAAATATGTACATGAAAAAGGTCAAAGTTCTAAAAAGCAGCCTACCTCATTTCAAAAAATAAAAATTGAGAGTTAATTTGCATTTCTGTTATCTCATTTATTGTCAATATGTTCGGTTTCCTACCTCAGTTGTTAAAGAGGGAATTAAAAAAAAATTAAAAACATTTTTTTTATTGCCTGTTTTATCTGTTTGGAACTAGTGTTTCATTCAGGTGGAAGGAGAAGAGGACATAGTGTAAAGCCTATTTCAGGTGCAAATGTGAATGGAATTGTCAATATTAACATAAGGTGTATTGGTCCTTTCCTGTTTGAGGATTTGCTGGCCTCTTAGATAAGTACATTAAGAAATTATTCTGCTATCTGAGAGCAGATAACATGTTTAGTTCATATAGATGTGAGGTAAAACCTCAAATTTTATGGCTGCATAATTTTTTTCCACTAAGAAACATGAAGGGAACATGAGAGGTTTAATCTGATTTTCTATAGAAAGGGAAACAGTCAGCTACTGTGCAGAGTCAGCTACTGGAAAGATATCTAGTGGTCAGAGCCATAGCTTGGTCCTTTGGAGATCCAGATGTAACACCCTGCTCTGCCTTAGATTTCCTGTGACAAATGGCTAAGGCTCCCATCTTCTGAGGGATTTAGACATCTAACTTTTCTTTAAGCACCTAGCCCCTATTGATCAGGTCCATCCTGTTCAGTATGGCTCTAGTCAACATGAATGCATTAGTGAGGGATTATTATTCCTATTTTATATATGAGAAATTGAGGCATAAAGAGGTTCCAGGCCTGTTTTTGTGAAGATATTTTTGTGCCTAGGGATGCAGATAAATGCCTACTTATAGATGTGTCTGCAGCAGTATGGAAATGTAATCACCTCTAGATTTTGGGGGAATGGAGGGGCAGAAGGGGCAAGAAGGGAAGGATAGAGTAAAACACAGTGGAGGTATAGATATGAACTTTTAAGAATTTTTGTGAAGTATAATGTCTTATAACAACAAAAATACTGGAGAGAGATAACTGATATAAGCAACTTCTATGCCAGGACTAGAACTTTGGTAAATCAGTCAAATACTTTCAAGTAAAATTTCCTAATATAGTTCAGATATGAGAATTGCTCCTTGAGATATGGTGTCATATTTCTTGTAATATCCAGAAAGATGAAGCAAGATACAAATCTGTATTTTCAAAATTAAGAATGAAAGTGGACTGAATAAATGTTATAGCTAATTGACTTGCAGTATTTAGCCTATCACAACTGACATTTATTTTACACTCTTTTAGATAGAAATAAGCAGTGTTGAGAAGAATGTGAAAAGACAGCAGCATCAGTCCTTTGAGTAAGAAGAAATTTCTCCCTTGCAAATTAATGTGGTTAGGTGTGGGAGGGGGAGTATCTGTGCATACAGGTGACAGCTCCCAAAACTTTAGAAAATAAGTTTCAGTAGTCTCTCTTCACTGCTACAATCTCAGAACTAAATGCTGTTACCTGTACCCATGTTGAATGCTATATGGGTAATCAGTGGGACTAGTTAAGGACTAATGCATTACTCAAACCGGTCTATAGAGAGTGGTACAAAGCCTGCTGGAATTGATGGAAGTTGTGAATTTCAGTGGATTTTGGATGAGATTCTTGGAGTGAAATTGTGCCACTGAAGTGACTGAAAGTTTTGCCACTGATTTCAGTGAATCAGGATTTTACCCTCTGGGTCTAGATCTGTTTCATTTAAGCTAGGGCTGTCCAATGGCAGCCCTTGGGCCACATGCAGCGTAAAAGTAGTTTTTGTGTGGTTCCTGGGATCCTACCTGGCCAACCCTCCTCATATCACTCCCAGCTGCTGCTGCAGCTGAGATCTCTTGGCTCTTCCCCACTCCGACAGCTTTCACCTCCTCTTCCCAATGCAGCGAGTGGGGTGGCACAGCCAATGATACTGGGAGAGCCCAGGGTGTGCTGGAGCGAGGGACCTGAGGTGGGTACTGCCCACATAGTGCAACAGCCCCCTGTTCATGGGATGCAGCAGCTGGGGGGGGGGACGACTACTGTCAGCGCAGTGCAGCAGTGTAGGGGCTTGCAGTAATGTGGGCCTTGCTGATGCACCACATATGGCATGTGGCCCCAGCCCCTTGAAGTTGGGCAGCCCTGATATAAACAGACAGCAATACTTCTATCAAATTTAGGAGAAAGGAGCATCAGGCCTCTAAAGTGTGTGACTGGGAGCGAAATCTTTATTTGTAGCATTTCATTGATTCTTACTTTCTTTTTTTCATTCTTGGATCCAAACAATTGAGTCATTTCTTCTCTTAAAATTGTCCTTTTCTTTCTGTCTTTTTGTGCAAGAATTTTAGGATAATGAAGAGTGTTATATATTAATAAATTTTCTTGTAAACCTCAGTGTTAGTCTTTCTCCTTTCTATTCCTGTTTACAAGATTTGAACTGTGTAAAACAAATGTACAGCTAATCACTGTCAAAAGGATGTGCAGCCTACATTTCATATACCAAGCTATGGCTGACTTGCACGAAATGTGGGGAAAAAAATCAAGATCTCTGACATGTTACTGACGCACAATCATTCAGGAAGACACCTGAAGTATGTAAATCAGCAGCAAGAAAAAACTCAGTGCTCTTAAAATATTAGCTGGAAGCAAGATATTTTTCAACTCTTTTCTAGAGTTGGTCTGAGTAGATTGAACTGATTTTAAGACTAAACAGATAAAGAACAGGAATAGATGCTGGGGATGAATTAAAATTTGTCTATACCAGAATTGTAAGACACAAGTTTCTAGTTTACTATATCAAATACCCAAAGCATTTATCTGTCTTGTTTTGTAGTTTTAGGGAAGATTTCTATTTTGATGATACAGCTGGATACTTAGTTTTTGGAGGCAGTGTGTATGCATCTGGCATTGAAGGATTCTTTGGACCTGTGAAATACTATCGTCTTAGTGTTTTGGAAACAAAGCAGGTAGGTGTGTGTAGAGTAACAAAAATGATTATATTATAAGTTCACCCATTGAAATGCCACCGTTGTCACAGACTGATTCTGAGTACATGGGTTCTAAGTAGAGACAAATTACAAAATCTGGTCACCCCAGATGATAAGCTTGTCATCAAACAAAATAGAATTTGAGGATTTTGTCAGTATGTAAACTCTGCCAGAAGTGATTTAACCCTGGAGCCCAGAGACCTCAGCTGCAACAGCAAGGCAGACAGGCTAGGGCACCTGGACAGCAGGGCTGGATCTGGCAGAGGTGAAGGAGACTGGCAGCGGCAGCTGAAAGGAACCACTGCTGTGGGGGCTGCTGGGAAGTGAGTCTGGCTGCTGTGCTGCCCAGCCCCACTGTGTGCCCGGGAGTGGTAAGACCAGCTGCATGCACCATGTCCTGGGCTGCCCCCCACGCCTGGGCCAGGTGCATCCAAGGGACCCATTGCAGGCCGAATAAAATCCCTTGGTAGCCAGATCCAGTCCATGTGCCATATTTTGCTCACTCCTGGGCTGGAGGAATGCTTGTAGTTTGGCTCCTGGGCTATTTTCTACCTGAAGAAATGTCTTTTGGTAGAAATGAATGCCTGTACACAGCCAATGTCTACAAAATTTTCTCCTATCAAAATGTAAATAGCTATAGGTCTTGCAGTTACTACTATTATGATTTAATGGTAATTTGATTCTGTCTAGATTTCTAATCCTATTTATGACAGAGAAATTATGGAACAAATTGAACTCTACTATGAGAGCTGTGCAGACATTCAAGAAATAGTATCCTGGTATGGACACATTGTACAACAAGGTCAAACAGTGCATAAAGATTGTAAGTATTGAATTGTGAGGTCTGAATATTAGGCTGCATGTTATTGACTTCTCCTTTGCTTTATTTTTAACAGAGACTGAATGGTCACCTGTAGAAGTGCGGGGATGCTGCTCTACGCTATAATTACAGTGCATCAGAGCAGACCCAATTAATCAAGTCTGCTGGAGTATGCTGATTAGTGTGCTCCAGCAGCCTCCGTGTCTCATGTATTCAGCATCTCCACACTTCAAAATGGCGGCAGGGTGCTTTAACTAAAGCTTGTCAAGTGAGCTTTAGTTAAAGCTCCCCCATTGCCATTTTGAAGCATGTGACACTGAATACACATGACGCTGAGGGCACTTTAATTAGAGCAGCTCTCAAAGCCCCTCTAATTAAAGCTCTCCCATCCCCAGAGCACATGTAAAGATGCCCATTGTAATTTGATAATTGTTTTGTCAATAAACATAAGCTATGTGTATAGTAAGGGAAAAATATTGCTTTTGCAGTAATTATCATGGCTGCTGGCTGATTAAAACCATGTTTCTTGTTATTAGAAAGGCTCCCATTCTGTGGAATACTAACATAAAAAGAAGTGATATTGTTGAATTCTTTTAAAAGGCAGAGAAATAAAATGGAACAATAACATGATTTCAGGCTAACATACTATACCACTCAAATCCTCCTATTTTTTTCTCTAACCAGAACTATACAAGTATTTTTGTAGCTGGCTGTACAAATATATGCTAAGTATACCATCAAATTCACAAATATTTTATAGTACAACAAAGCAGCTAGCCACCACTGCATACATATTTTTAAAATTCCCAACCATTTTCATGATTGTTTGGAATATCTATTCTATAGATGCCTCATGTAAAGGAAGCAAGAGGCAAAATGCTTACCCTTGCATCCATTCTGTTTCATAACAGCATAACAGTCTAGGTCTAGTTATGTATTGGAAAACTCATCATTGCAACACTATTATATATTCCCAATAGGAATTTTGTTACCATGTCCCAGTAAGACTGTGGCAAATGTTATAATAAATCATCTCTTTTTATTTTAAGTGAGCTTACCAGCATTATCACTTCACTGATCCTTTCTCTTCTTCCCATCCTATATGCCAGTTGTTAATCATTTTTGGAACATTATTTAGTTAGTTCAGATATTTTTTTTAGATATATCACTTTCTCTAGGTAAACAAGAACACTATTATTCATACCTGAACCACAAATATGGAGAGAAGCCCAAGTGCAATGCCTTTATGTGGAGGAAGGCTCTAAGGGAGAAATATCACAGCTTGTTCAAGCTGCTGCAAGAGATGGATTTCAGTTCACCAAGCGGTAATCATGACTTTGTCTTGCCTTGCTGAAATTACTATGCAGTTGGCGTGTCTACACATACCCCTGACTATGCATTTGGTGCTATGCAGTCATTTAGTACTTGCTTTAGTACTGTGCAGTCCCAGCAGCGCACTGCTATTTTTAGATGGTATGTCGCCATAGCAATGAGCTATGGCAACATAGCTCATCGCTACAGCAATGTAGCATTGACATCGTGGTTTATGCCTGCTGGCACTATGTTGCTGTCACAACAAGCTACTTCACCATAGCTTGTTGCTACGGCAATGTAGTGTCTCATGTAGCTGCACCAAGTATCACTTCAAATTTTAACTTGTCGCAGCAATTTTTTTTTTTTAATTTTAACATCACCTAACTTAATGAAAGAGAAATTTACTGTCATAATGGGATGGACATAATGCAAAAGATGGGCATGTTTCACATTTTAACACAGTTCCCCTGGACCAGATTCTGCCCCCATTGTTAATGTTGACCTGTCTTCTAATAGAGTCCTGTTCCATGAATTTCAATTATGCAAGTCTCTGAATTTTTTTCCCCTAGGACCAATTTTTAATTTACTCATTTCTGTTCTAGGAGTTTCTTTATTTTCAGGGTGTGCCTTAATCAGTAAAGTATCATTTTGTGTGAGAACATATGGCAAAAGGGACAGCCGTACTAACCCAGTAAGGAAGGATAAATGAAACAGTTAAAAACATGACAACTGATTTAAACTGTTTTTACATATAGCAGTTAGTTATGTATTGTTTGTTGTTGTACTTTTTAAAATTTGAATATCACCTAACTTAATGAAAGAGAAATTTACTGTGTCATGATGGGATGGACATAATGCAAAAGATGGACATGTTTCACAAAAATTATACAATTTTAGAAACTGGCCAGAAGATATTTGAGAAGGTTGCCAAAGATCTCTCCAGAGCTGATGGTCTAAGCTCCATGAACAACTCAGTCCCCTTTTTGATGGATTCCAGCTGCTGTGGATACCACAGAGCTTCTTATTTCCTTGCAGTGATTTTTGAAATGGGACTCGGTGTGCCTGCAGATCCTATAAAGGTAGTTTATTCATTACATCTGATCAACCCAGTTACCTTTAAAAGCAATTTACAAAATTGGTTGTATAGATAAAATTTGGCCCATTTGAGAAAAACAATGACAGATATTTTGGTAGTTTGCCCCATCTCAGTGCTAAACAATAGTTTCCTTATCCATGTCTTTCCTTTCTTCTTGCTCCTTTAGTAGGCAGCTGGTCACAGATACTTATGAATCCCCTTATGCTTGGGCACTAATGGCAGGGAAACCTAGTAGAGGGACTTCTATGTTCTACTGTTCCAGAGTGGCAGAATGAACAGATTTGTCACCCCTAAAAGAAGGTAGCAAAGTGAATAGGGGTGGAGGGAAAATCTTTTCAGGTAGCTGAAGAAGCAGGGAAAATGGTCTTCTTTATATCCATAGTTAATTGCAGATGAGCATGCAGACTAGAAATGGACTGGAGAAAGCAGAACTCCTGTCCATCCCCCTGAAGTCTGGTTAAGAAAATATCATCCTCGGGCTGATAGGGACAGCAGATCACAGGGTTCCTCCTGTGTAGATTTAGTTAGGGAATTTAATTAGGGAATTGGTTGCATAGAATAAGGAGGGAATGAGATCCTGGGTTATATTGTGCAAGAGTGAAGTTCTGTAAGTGGGCAAGGAGGGGAAACATTCATAAAGTTTTTGATAATTTGGTTACACTTCAGATAAGCATCTGAACTCCAAACTTAAGCATAGGTACTGAGTACATTGGGGCCCGAGGGCCCTGACCCCCTTCAAGAAGACAGTAGGGTGACCACCTGTCCCTAATTGAGCGGGACAGTCGTGAAATGGGAACATCAAGTCCTGGTTCTAGGGTGCATGACTCTGGGACAGCATTTGTCTTGGATCCCCATTATCATGCAGGGATCCAGGTTTTCCACTCACTGTGGAAAAACATGAGAAACAACAGGTTTCCCCTCGCAGGCTGGCAGAGTTCCAGCCTACAAGGGGCTGCAGGGAGCGGGATGCAGGGGGTCCCATGTGCATATGGGCACGCATATGGCCAGGGATACAGCTCCAGGCAGCAGTAGAGAGCAGCTCTTCCAGCTGCCTGCAGGTAAGTCTTTGGGGAAGGGGGGCAGATTGAGGCCCCCACGGTGAGGGAGGGAGTGGAGCAGGGTCTGGGCCTGGGGGTGCTGCCCAGCTGTGGGGTGGTTTGGTGGGCATGGCTCCCTGCCACTGCGTGAACTCCCAGGGAGGGAGGGAGGATGCAGATTTGTGTGCAGGGCGGATGCAGGCTGCCTGCTGTGGGCTCAGGGCTCCTCACTCTGCTGCCCTTCCCCTGGGAGCCCATGCTAGCCTCACTGCCATGGCGAAGCGCCCCCTGCCTGCCTGGCAGCAGCAGGGGCAGTAGCATAGAGTTGTGCCCTCCACTGGTACCGGGCAGGCAGGAGGTGCCTCGCCATGGTGGCACAGTCAGTGAGGAGCTCCTGGGGAGAAAAGGAGAAAGTTCTTTGTGTGGAACTTAAGATGCTTACAACGAGATTGCTGAGAGGGGCAAGGATTTCTTAGGGTGATATCTTTTATCAGACCAACTGTGTAGTTGGGATAAAGTTAGACAAGCTTTTGAATGCAAGACATTTTTCCTCAGGTCTCACGTTCTTACATTCAAATGTTATACATTTGAAAGTTTGCGTAACTTTATCCCCCTGATATAAAAGAGATAACCCTAAGAAATCCTTGCCTCTGTCAGCAATTTTGTTGTAAGCGTCTTAGGTTCCACACAAATAACTTTCTCCTCTTCTGGCCATCATTTGACCCAGAAGAGAAATCACAGGGATATAATTTTGATCTTATGATTGATTTGGGGCATGCCTTAAGTTCATAGGCACTGACTTTATTTTTGCTGGGGATGGGCAGGGGGTGGGGGGAGCCTAAGATGATGCTCCCCTCCTCTCCCCCCATGGCATGGCCAGAGCTGAGCAGAGCCTGTGGATAATTAATCACATAATTTCTGGACCATCACAGCTACAACATCACACTTACACTAAAGAAATTGCTGACAGAAATTAACTATGAAAAGGTAGCAGGCCACAAAGCACTCTAAAGAATGCCGGGGCTGACTGGGCATTAGTCAGCAGAAGAGGAGACGGGGTCCGCAGTGCTGAGAATCATCTGAGGCAAAGCTTGCCACATCCTATTGTGGAGAGAGATGTTACCAGTACATTGCCTTCCAGGTCCTCCCGATGGTGTTGGGAAGGCTTTAATAGCTAGTGCAGATAGGACAAAATGGTTTTCAGCACAGTTAGAGACCAGTTGGAGGGGGGGAGGTGGGATATGTTTTCTGTAACAGTGCTGAAAAATGGTTTTGTTTGATCTGCAGTAGCCAGACTGCTTTCAGCACCAGCTGAAGTGGGGCAGTGGAAGCCTCTTGCTGAAAACTGTTCTCAGTACCAGGTCATTTTTCTAGTCTAGGCAGCAATATAGAGTGACATTTTCAAATGCTCCTAATGCTTCCACTAAAATTGGAGCAAAATACCCATTAGCACTAGTGCGCAAAGGCTATGGAAAATCCTGTCCTTAGAGCCCCATTTATAAGTTGATGCCTTTTAGTGTCCAAAGAGTATAATTTGAATTAAGTAGCAATGTATCAAATTCCCTACCCACTCTAGTGATGGCAGAATGACAAGCAGGAATACTCACAGGGAAGAATTGTGGAGTTTCTTTCATAGCTTTCTATGTAAAAAAGCAAAACAAAACAAAAAAAAACCCTAATCGCTTTGAGACAACATTCTTGATATTTGAGACAATTCTGTTTGCTTATACATTCTATAAGGTGTAACTCCTGCATCAGCCAGCATGATGGATGCACTATTCCAACTGTGTATATTCTGTAAGACAAAGTGGTTTGTAGCTGGTGAACTTGTCATATGTCTTATTAATTCTCTGTTGCTTACCCTTGCTGATTTTTTTGGCAGGGGCTGCTGTATAGTTTGGTTGGTGCTCAGGGGAATGACAGACTTGCAGGGTTGAATCTTGGATATAAACATTACCAAGGCATTAATAACTATCCACTGGACTTTGAGCTATCATATGCTTACTACAGCAATATTGCACTAAAGACTTCTCTTGATCAACACACTATAAAAGAAGATCAGGTAAAAAGATTTTAGATGTATTTGCATTTATTTTCCATGTTAGTAGTTTTTAATGCTTTAATAATATTCATTATTTAATATTCATAATTAAAGGTGGCTGAAACAATATGCTGAAACCATATATGTTAAATCAGTCATTTAAACAACTTTTTATCACCTGGGTATTTTACAAACACTCTAATTAGTGCTCACAACTCTCCACAACATAGATATTACTATCTCATTTCACAGAAGGGGAAAACCAAGTTACAGAAAAATTAAGGGCCAGATGCAAAAAAAATTGTAAGAACCTAAAATGCAACTTTGACAAAATTTAAGCAGCAATGCCCAATGGAGCAATCCACAACTCACCTTGGGTGCCTGAGTGACTATAGATGCCAGACTTTTCACCAGTAAATTTATTTACATGCCAAAAATTATGCTCCTGTGTATGCCCAGAGATGCCACCACCTTGGCAGAGTGAGCATCTGATTCCTACCTCCTGCCTAAACTGCTTTGAGAGTCACAAAATAGGTCTCCATGAGCCTAAGTCCACTGAGGAGACAGATCTTGTAACCGTAATGGGCTTTTTCTCCAGGGATGGCTGCAGTGCTTCCTAGGGCCCTATGCCCATTCTCCTACTCTGGTTTCCCTCATCTCTCCTTCTCTTTCGCCTGCCATTTCTTGATGTCAAAAAAAGATTTGAGAGGCTGCCTTTGGATACCTAGAGTTTGGCTTTCAGTACCTTGCCCCACCCTGCTCATCATTAGGTTGCCAGTCAGCTCATCCTCACTCTAACTGGAACAGAGCTCTCTCTCACATGTCTGGCTCCCCTGGCCCAATCTCTCTCTCTCTCTCATGTGGGCCAATTTCTAAAAGAAAAAAGAGCCAGCTAGTCACCCATATTCCAAGGAACAACTTAGATGCCAGGAATTAGGTTCAGGTAGTGAATCTCTCTTGCAGCTGTGCCTACAGGGGAGAGTCCAAGTCCTAAAGAAAAGCAGGTTTTAAGAAACACTTGGAGTTTCCTATTGGCTAGCTTGTGTCACCCCACTTAGCACAGTGGGTGCTGTGAGTTCCTTTCTAGGCACCTGACTCTGCCTGTTCACTGCATAGGGAACCACACAAGTGATCCAGTAAAAATATCACCCCCAAAAATCCTTGCCTCTCATATAACTTGGGTCTGTGAATTCCACTCCTGGCATATTATGTATTGCTTGATTGTTTGAAAGAAACTCATCTTGGTTTGATGTCTTGTGTGTCTGCAGGCATCTCTACTAGTTTTTATTTCTGTAGTGTCTCTTCTTTACAGTTATCTATATATTAACAAAGGAGAGAACTTTAAAACTTTAACCATATCTTTTTAATCCATACAGAGAAGGTCTGGACAGTTGAGTCATTAAAATTCCAGCAGCAGTCAGTCCATCATCTGCACTAATGCTTCTACTTCCGCTACCACCATGGGAACTACACAAGGGGCATGTCTACATGTGCCATTAAGGCAAAGCAATAAACTCCTGCGCTTATTGTGCCAGAGTTTACTGCTTCCAGGTGCTGCATTTACGTGTGCGCCTAGGTCCACAACAGATTGAGCCAGATCAGAGCAGCCCTGACTGGCAGGGAGCCTGGGGAGTGAGCCTTGCCAGCCTGGGGCTGCTCCAACCTGGCTCAACATGCTGTGGAGGCGCTGGCTGGGGCACGAGAGTACTCCAGCACAGGGCAAGCTGGCAGGCAGCCCTTGCACTAAAGCACCCTTGTGCCTCAGCTAGTCACATCAACATTTACACGTGCAGTGCTGTGGAGTAAAAAACTCCACAGCAGGCTAGTACTTTACAAGTACAAGGACAGGATTTACACGTACTACCCTGCTGCAGTGTTAATTAGTTTCCTGTGGTCTAATAGGGCCTCACATGTAGATGCAAAACATTTACTGTAGAGCTAATTAGTCTACTCTGCAGTAAACATTTCATGTAGACACACCCAGAAAGTAGCAATAGAAGAGAGTTTAAAAAAAAATACATCTAGTAAACATAGGGCAGTGGCATCTATGGCAGTCTGCCTGACAGTGCCATGAAGAAATGGCAAATGGTTTTAAAATGGCTAAAGAGGTTTCCTAATGAACTGGCCAATAAAGAGACTGTCAGAATGTTCAACATAAACAGGAAACATGTACTGTATTCACTCGGAGAGCATGTTGATCAATTTGCTGTTTGTGTCTTTTTTCACCCTCTTTTCAGGCACTTGTAGAAGCTGTTAGGCTAACAGATGATGAACTACTAAAATCTCAAACCAAAGAAACCGGTGATATCTTCATGTGGTTAAAATATGAAGCAGTAAGGGGAAATGCAGTGGCACAGGTATGGGCTGAAGCACAGCACATAGAATTCCTGTTTTGCTTCTCTTTGTGATTAAAAATAAATTATAAACTTATTGGTAATGCTTTCACCTTTGTGTCTCAAACTCAGACCTTTCACTCCCTTCCTGACACCTCTAATGCCTGTGCAATTCTGAATACCTTCCCTTGTACTACATTTACGGTTAATGTGAATTAAGTTGGTGGTTGTGTTGTTTTGTTTTAGCAAAGAATGGCACAGATGCTTTTCTGGGGCCAGCAAGGAGTGGCAAAAAATCCCAAAGCAGCAATAGAGTGGTATCAAAAAGGTGCCCTGGAAACTGAGGACCCAGTATTAATATATGATTATGCCATTGTGTTGTTCAAGGTAGGTCCTGCTTCATATTTTAATTTTGGAACTGGTAGAATTGGATCAATGTGTTTCAGAGTTTAGATTATTGAGAGAAGTTTGTATGTTTTCTGTATTAATATATTATGCACACATAGTATGATGATACTCTTGTATTATTTGGACCTATTGGGAACTTTTTACAATTTTTGACCAATATTTGACCAGTCAATTGACCCAACTTCATTTGACCAGTCAAATACCCAACCCGAACTTAATTGTCCTGTTGTGACATTTTAATGCCATCATACCCATGCAATAAATTGCACCATTGTGCAGTTGAGACTTCACTGACAAAAAAGATTTTTTCATGAGCAAGGGTAGTACTGTAGTTATGGATATGAAACAGACCCAAACTTTATTCCTTGAGATAGGTTATGTGCCTGTGCACAAAGAAAGTTCTAGGTTTCAAGGGAACTTGCAAAGGAGTTTATAGCAATGGAAGAATAGCAGTAACACACCTGACAAATAGTAAATCCCAAGGACATTCCTTTTACCCAATCTGATATTTTAATAAAAGAAAAGTTCTGTATTGCGCTGTATCACATTAAGACAGCCATGCAAAATTGCCATTATAATTCAACCGCCCAAGCACAAAAGGTATTTCATGAGTGAGTTATTAAGCTTCTCTTAATATAGGATATTAAATTAGGAAGACATAAACACAGCTTTTACTTTGCTTTTATAAGGTTGAAAAATGATTTGTAAGCTATAGCATCTAAGCCTTAAAACTGCTTTTTGAATTTGTAGGTGTAAATTTTCAACAGTGTATATTGTAGATCCTTTAATTATTTAATCATGTTTCATATTATTTAATTATGTTTATCATTTAGGGCCAAGGCGTGAAAAAGAACACAAAACTTGCTTTAGAACTGATGAAAAAAGCAGCAGCCAAGGTAAAACACACATCATAAAAATAGTCTATTGGTGCAGTGTTGTAAGTTTGAAGTATTATTATAATAATTAACCATAATGCTGTATAGTTGCTTCTCTCCAGTATGAGTTAGGAAAGCATTGTTATACAGAGGGGGAAGTGAGGTGTATAAGATCAAATATGATTCTGGAGTAAGCAGTAATTCCATTGAAGTTAATTGAATTTTTTCTGCTTTCACCAAAGCTAAATTTGGAGTAGAAAGTTAAGTGCCTTATACAAAACCATGTAGTGACTGATCCAGGATTAGAACTCAGGTATTTTAGCTTCCCCTTTGTGTTATCATTAGGATTACTTAGCTGGCCTGATAATTGAAGATACTGGTACACACTCATCTACCAGAATCCAATTGGAGAAAGAAATGACTATCGCTTGCAAGAAATCAGACCAAGAGATTTCATTACACTGAATAAGAGCTTGTTAATTGGAAGTGTAAAAGAGAATGTAAGGAGGGGTTAAGAATCAGACCAGGTTTTGCAGCCTGTACTTTAAAAGGGGTAACTTTTAGCTAATCATCTCAAAAGCATCAAAGGAACCAAAGGGTGGCTCCAAGGCAGGAACCCTATCACACTTGAGGATTGTACAAGCTCTCTCTGTGTGCAGGTTATTGCCTCTTGTGCCAGCTCTGCTCCACTAGCTGAGTCAGGTAGCTGAAAAAAGATCTCTGCTTCTTACTTTTCATTCTCCTATAGAATAGAGAAGTAATGGATGCACAGAGCTGCTTATTCCGCTATGCCTGAACCCCAGAACTCAAGGCTAGTCACACAAGGTCAGGGGTTCTCTCTCCCTTTTACAGCCCAGAACACTCAGAGAGGCTATGCCATAATATGGCCCATAATGAAAAACGCATGTACTTTTGCCCTCATTTGTAATGCTCAGGCATCGGGTACATTTATAGCTGTAAAACAAACTATTCAAACCACTCTCAGTTTGTTTCTGACCTTAGCTAGCAAGTAGATCCTCAATTACTAAACACCAGAGGGAGAAATAAAAAAGCTCAAAGCACTATTTCTCTTTGCTTTAAAACACAAGATTCCCAGGGTGCATCTATATGAGACGTTTATTGCCCAGTAGACTAATTAGGTGTTCAGTAAACATCTCTGCCTCTACATGTGCACCCCTATTAGGCTGGAGTAAACTAATTTATTCCGGTTTAGAATAGTACTTGTAAATACTTGAGCCAGGAGAGCAGCCCTAGCCTGGCAGGCTGACCCCTGGGACCCCTGCCAGCTGGGGCTGCTCTGACCCGGCTCCAGGTGCTGTGCATGAATAAACTGCAGAGCTTATTGCTCCAGAGTTAATTGCTCCCAGGCACATGTTCAAATGGCACTCCTGGGAGCAATACATTCTGGAGCAATAAGCTCTGCAGCTTATTAATGCACAGTAATAGCACATGTAGACATGCCCCCTGTGTTCAAATCCCTGCTCAGGAAAATCCTGAGTCAACAGACTGACTTTCACAGCAAAGTGTAATACCTGCTAACTTGTGTCCTGGCAAGCTACATACAGAAGCAAATTCCTGACCATTTCTAACCTGAAGATAACTCTCTTACTGTTGATTGTAGTCAGTGATTAAACCATATGTTCTAGTACACTGTTTCTATAAAGAGATCTATAGCTCTGTAAAGAAAGATCATTGATGAATAGTTAATCTTCTGTTCAGTAAATTGTCAGGTTTGGGTTGAAATTTGAAAGGTAAATAATCCTTCCCTAGAGGGCCTTTGAAATATCCTACACAGTCTAAATTTCCTGTTATAGATAGAAATGATGTGAACAGACTGTAGCACAGCAGCCTTTAGATAAAAGTTTATAGTAACAAATAAAAGGTGTGAGTTTATGAACTGAGCTTCTTAGACCTCAGTTACCCTTCATATATGACTGCTTTTGGCATGGCCCCTTCAAAACCCAAGAGGAAATAGTATATCAAACCGGGTTTGTTGGCGTAGTAATTGAACTGCTGATGTAGACATGGCCATCATACAATTTAACAGATTAAGCAAGGAAATAATCAAACAATGCTGACATTAAAAAAATTGCCACAGAAAAAAATATCCTTTCTTACTGCCTAATTACTGAGGCAAAGACAAGGCCTAATGACCGTATATGACACTGCCCTAAAAAAGATCTGAGTTGCTGTGGGAGGGCATACTTAGTGTTTCCTAAAAATGGTGTGCATTGCACTGGCCAATCAAATCACGTCTCTGGTCAGTAAAAATAGCATTGTGAACTTCCATGTTTTTGTCTCCCATTTATTTCTAGACCAAATGTAGTAATTCACAAGTGAAAATATTGTTCTGATTGGTAGTCCTGCCAATTCAGCTTGAGATTTGAGAGTTACATCCTGGTGTTCTGTAGGGGATACCTTCAGTGACCCATGTGCAAACTCAGTAAATACTATGTAGTTGCACTAATAATGCACAGGAATAGACCCTTTCTCTTACAGCTGTGTTAGATTTGTAGGTAGAGCAAAGAGAAAACAGTAGAAATTTGTTGCAAATGGATATAAACCTGAATGCACATAGTAAGCAGAGCCATAGCACAGCAAGTCATCATGCTCGCTTCCAGAGCAGAACCTTCCTTTAATATCCACCATGGTTCTGAAGGAAATGTCTTTTACTTTGCATTGGCAGGAAGAGACTTGATTTCCATACAAGGCCTCATGGAAGAAAAGATGGGAAAACAGGGTTCCAGTAGGAACATGCATAAGACTTTACAAAACCCTGAGTGACAGTTTGGGGGAACTTTCAAGGACCTGTACAGAATAGCTTTCTAAAACACTGGACCACAGAGAACAAGTTGACATCAAAAGATGATCCAAAATTCAACTGAACCTGTGTGATCTGAGGAATGTTGTATTTTCACCCACAGGGATTACCTCAGGCAGTAAATGGTTTGGGATGGTATTACCATAATTTCAAACAAAACTATGTAAAAGCAGCCCAATACTGGTTAGAAGCTGAAAAAATGGGAATTTCAGATGCATCCTATAACCTTGGTGTTCTACATTTAGCTGGGCTTTACCCTGGAGTTCCTGGCAGAAATGAAGTGAGTAAATATGTGGTGATATTTCTTACAGGATTTAGTTTACACCTCTTGGCTTTACTCTTGACTATGCTATGTTCACTTAGAACTGGATTCTGACACCCTAAACTGTGGTGGCTAGTGCTTTATTCTGTACAGACTCAGTGGGAAATCAGTGGGACATCTTTTGGAAAGAGGAACTATGCAAACTTCCTGAGACCGTGTGTGTGTGTGTGTGTGTGTGTGTGTGTGTGTGTGTGTGTGTGTGTGTGCGCGCGTGCTTCAAATGTGTTTGTTCCTCTGATTTGTGTAGTTCAGTGGTATTAAATTTTTTGGGCCTGTGGGTGGCATGGGGCTGGTTCACAGGCTAGATCAGCCAGTACATGCCCAGATTGGGCCTCATGCTCCTCCCCCACCCTCCACTGCACACCCAGTCTAGAGCACAGAACCATGCTGTCCATCCTGTAGGGCTCCCTACAGGTTTGGAAATTTGGCAGTAGGGGAGTGGTGCCACTCTGACAAATTTTTAAACTCTTGAATAACCCCACTGACCAGATGACACAGTACTGGGGGCTGGATCTGGCCCGCAGGCCAGGGTTTGAGCACCCCTGATGTATTTTCATCTCAAGAGTATGAATCATTTACAAGTAAAACACCATTTCTATGAAATGTGTCATACAAATAAGCAAAGGAACATTTTTTAAATAGTTGGATTTTATACCTTCTTGAATCTTGAAGTGGAGATTATTCTAGAGTAGGTCTTTGTCATTGACTTCAATGGTATTTTTCATGGGATAAAGTACAACTCAATGCAGATTCTACACCAAGATATTTCAGCAGTTACACTATCCTCACATTGTAGCTTTGGTAAAAACAGGTCATTGGGGTGAAAAATCTCCTTCAAGCCAGCTCTTAACTTAAATTTCCCTTTCAGAATTTGGTTTGAACTTGCACTATATACTTCTGACATATATATTCCATTTTTGCCTTTCTAAGCTAGGGCCAATTGATTTCATTTTAGATTTATCAAGACAAATTGTTGTATTCCTAACAGAAGATTTAAATATTTTGGGTATGCTTCCTGTAGGTACCCTTTTAAAAATGCTGCAAAATTTATGATGAAACCTGCCATTTAGAGGTAGGCATGCTAAGATAAAAGCTAGAAAACCTCATGCCTAATGTCACCATGTGTTTTCGAAGGAGACCGAGTAATATGGCCTTTGAGTTCAAGAGTATGTCTAGTGCCCCTACCAGTGAGCTTGCTTGCCACCCACAGCAGCTGATGCTACCCCACAAATGGTGGTCAAGTATACTTCTACTACTGAGGGTATGCAAATACATAGTGTATAATGGACTGTCCATAAGAATACATTTTCAGTGTAACAGCAGCTCCTCACAAAAATCCTCTATGGTCCTTCATTCACCAAAAGCCCAGGAAATGAGAGGAGCTCTTCTGTGACCTCTTTAAGGTTAACCATAACAGGTTAGATTGGATCAAATAAAAAAGCAAATTCCAAGGTTCAGGGCCCCTCAACAAAAACACTTTAGGCCAGATTCTACTCCACCCATTAGAAGTCTAATTAGAATTAGATGCCTAAATGTAATTCTGATCTACCCTGCTTGAGACCCTGAAGATCCATTCACGTATCAACTTTTTGTCACGTATCATCATCTGACCCTTAAGGCCGAGTCACAAAAAGTGACAAAGAGGAGGATGCCGCCCACATGTACGTCATTTGTATTAATAGTTTTTCAGGGACTGGAGCATGGGGGAACAGAATTCCACGTATGTGCCTAATCGGTGGACTAGAATCTGGCCCCAAGACTCTTTTAGAGGTTGCCGATTAGAAGTTCCTGGAAAAATTCATGGAGTGGTGTGCCGCTGTCACTTCACTCCAGTTCCCTTTCCAACAGCAAATTTCTGGTGGTGAGAACTGGATACTGTCTCACTCACCTCCACAGTTCTGGCTTGGGAGCTGTGGGCCTGTTCTTACAATGCTTTTACCATTGCATCATTTCATCCTGACCTAGGTCTGGACAACAAGAGGGTAGAAATGCTTTTTTCACTTGTGGTGAATTATTGGTTCTATTTTGGCAGTGTCAGCAAAGCCATGCTGTACAGTACCTGGGGTTGGATGTGTGCTTACACATTTCTCTACCTGATATTCAATACAGTACTGCCATTTCAACTATAAAGAACTTTTCCAGCTTAAACTATGAAGATTGTGGAAGAAAGAAACTGATTTCTTTTGTGCACGTGGGAATTGATTAAACTGACTTGCTTCATTAGCTAGGTTGCCATTTTTTTAAAATGAATCATCATGGATGTAGCAATTTCCCAGAATGTTCCAAAGAGGTTACTATTTTTCCCTTGGTTTTTTTGCAGACACGAGCTGCTCAGTACTTCTATAAAGCAGCCCACGGTGGTCATATAGAAGGGACCTTACGATGCTCTCTGTATTACATCACAGGAAATATGGAAGACTTTCCTAGAGATCCTGAAAGAGCTGTAATGTAAGGGAAATTTCATTTCAGGTTGGAAAAAGATCATTTCAATTATGGCAAAATCTTGAGCCTTCAACCTAAGAAATGTGGATTATTATAGAGTAATTTTCTTCCTTTGAAAAATTAGGTCTGCTTGATTATCTGTATAATAACTAATATCCACAATGTAATTCAGCTTTGGCTTTCAGTGGAGTTGAGCACTGGCAATAACTCTAGATTTTGCAGGTGTTTAGCATCTCTGAAAGTCAATCTGATGCAGCTATCTTGCAAGACTTTTGTTTGACGTGAGGATTTTTTGGAATTATATATATTCAGTTCACTTGTGCTTCTTTGTCAAAGGGTACAGAAATTTACAGAGCGAATTCACAATTAGTAAAAAAAAAAAGAGAGAGATGGAACCTGTATTTTCCATGACAAGAGACACTGGGGATCCTTTACAATAACTTAATCTTTTTCTCCAAAAATAGAAAGTAATCCAAAAAATATATATATTTGGAATAGACTGCCACCAGAGGCAGTTCAAGCACCCACTTTGAATGCCTGCCTTTAAGACACATTTTGGATGCTTATCTTGCTGGGATCCTATGATCCCTGCTGACTTCCTGCCCCTGGAGCAGGGGGCTGGACTCGATGATCCTCCGGGGTCCCTTCCAGCCCTAATGTCTATGAAATCTATGAAATATCCTGGATTAGTGCAGGGAATTTCCACTTATATCAGTGAGAAATCCATGGAGCAGGATAATCTCATTCAACCAAAAGTAATTCCTGTATAACTGAATGAAATTTTATAGCGTTCTTTAATGGAGGAGATTAGGCAAGATGATTTAATGGCCAATTTTAAACTTAAAACCTATATGAATTGGTATAAATTTGGCTTCCTTCCTCTTATACCCATATAAAGATAAATTCTCAATCTACCTCTTAATGAAAGGAATTTGATGTGGAGTTTTGCTTTGGTGTTTTGTATACATTTTCATACAAAAATGTGCCAAAAATTAAATATTGCATTAAGAACATTCATAGCAGATCAAGAATTCAGTGTCTAGTGGAAATAACATTGTGTGCCTTTCATGACAAGAAGGCTGTTTCTGCACCCAGTGAAGTCAGTGACAAAACTCTCATCGCCTTGAGGGGAAACAGCACTGAGCCATGGTGTTTTAAAGTGTGTATTCATTTATTGTCTTTAACAGCTGGGCAAAACATATTGCAGAAAGGAATGGCTACTTAGGTCATGTAATCAGAAAAGCTCTCAATGCCTATCTGGATCTATTATGGTAAGCTTGTTTTATATATTCTTTACGAACTCATTTTACATTTTTATGAATGTGATTTGTTTAGATTAACCAGGATGGCAAAATATAACTAGGATGGCAAAATAATTTAACACCTGCTCGCCATACCCACACACACAGGGAATGAAAACATAACCTCAGTGAAGTTAATAGCAAAACTTCCATTAACTTTAATGGGGTCCTGGTTTTACCCATGGAGACTCCTGCACAAGAGAATAAATATACCCCAAACCAGATCCATACAGAAAGGTTGGTTATCACTGAAGTGCAAACCAAGTACAATCACATGTGTTTAGATCATCTCTATGTTATAAAAAATGTTATTATTTATATTATATATTTCAGTCTTTTGTAAACTCTGCTTTAAGGGACTCTAAGTTTGGGACACTTGCAATGGGAATCCAGTACAAACCCCAGACTGTGTACATGCATATATACACACGTGTACATTCATTCATACAGTCACAAATGTTGATTCAAAACCAGCGCTATTGGTTTCCCCCAGCCTGCTAGCATCATCTCAGTCTTATATGGAAAGCCAGTCAGCTTTCCTCCAAGTATCCTTCAGACACTGTGTTGGGCATTCATCAGCACTAGAATAATTAGGTGAAATGCAGATATAAGCTGAGATATAATATCTAACTACCCAATAGACTGTATGTACTTGTACAAGATGACTGTTTGATGTCAAACTTGTGTGCACAAAACAATATGAACAATTGCTATCTCTATAGATATGCTTGTAGACCAGTCAGAATTTGGACTCCATTATGCTAGGCATTGTACCAATGCAGAGGAAAACAATGGGCGCATCTACACATGCTATTAATGTACCTGAATAAACTCCAGTGCAGTTCACACTAGAGTTTATTGCTCCCAGATGCAGCATATACACATGCACCCAGGACCACAACACATTGAGCCAGGGTGGCACAGCCCCAGCTGGCAGGGAGCCTGGGGGTCAGCCTGCCAGCCTGGAGGAGTTCCCCAGCTCAATGTGCTGTGGAGGGGTTGGCTGGGGCACAAGGGTGCTCCAGTGTGGGGCTAGCTGGAAGGCAGCCCCCCACACTATAGCAATCTCATGTCCCAGCCAGCCCCAATTACTGTCTGCATGTGCGTTGCAGTGTACTAAATAGCTCTACCATAGGATAGTACTTGTGTCAGGCAATACTATCCTACAGCAGAGTTAATTAGTTTCCTGCAGCTTAATAACACCACATTTATACATGGTGATGCTTTACTGAGCAGCTAATTAGTCAACTCCACAGTAAAGCACATGTGTAGATGCACCCAAAGTCTGTTTTGCAAAGATCTTACAATCCCCTTCACCCTCCAAAAGCTGTAATAAACAAACACAATTTAATCAAAATGCCTGTTTAAGGAAAGTCTGTTGGGAACATGTTAAAAAATACAGTAAATCTTTTTTCTTAAAGTAGCAGCCTTTGACTTGCTATGAGACCTAAAGTATGTCTACGCAACAGACTGCAGTGCATTAAATACCTGAGAAGCAGGGTGCCTCTATGCTACATTGCATTGACCTTATACAGATCTTATGATTTCATCCCACAATAGTTTAGCTTATGTCAAAAAGCCAAATGTTGCCCTGATGGTTTTAGATGGCTTTATGACAGTAGTTTCCAACCTTTTTGTCTACAGGGCTGAATGAGCAGTACCCAGTCCCTCCGTGGGCTGGGTCTCGCCAGTGAACCAATCCAGCACCTAGGGCATGCTCAGTGGGGCCCCATCTCCAGCCACACAGGCAAAGGGGGCATGGCCTGGCTCTGAGGGGAAGAGGGGATAAGGAGGAGATGTAGCCCATCTCTGGGGGGTCATGACCCAGTTCTGAAGTAGCCATACAGGGCAGGGGGGCATGGCCCAGCCCTGTGACAGGAGAGGTATGGTCCAGCTCTAACCTGGCCCAGCAGAAGGAAGAGGATGTGGCCTGGCTCTGATCTGTCTCACAGCACTTGGGATTTTGGCAGCGGGGAGCATAGTGGCATCAACTGCCACTGCTCCCCCGCCACCAGATTTTCTGACCTATGGGGAGCCCTGCAGGCTGTATTCCAAGGCTCTATTTGGCCTGTGAGTCAGAGGTTGAGCACTCCTAATTTATGGTACTCCTGCAGTTTAACTGTGACACTTTCTCCTTTCCCCAAACATAATTTATGATTTCAAAATAAACACATAGTCCACATGGATTTGTTTGGCACATGTATTTTCAAAATATCCAGATCAGTCTGAGCCATAGTCATTCAGGAAATTCAGGAAAGTTTATGAAATATATTACTGAAAACAACAAATATGCTGCATCAGCATAGTGTCATAAAAATCTGTGGAAGAACCAACAGCAAAAGTCTCACGTTTCGTGTCATTCCCTCTTTTGCATGTGTTTTCTAGTCAACAATTTTTTGCTTGTCTAAAATTTTCCTAGGAGATTTAGGTCTGAAGACGGTCAGAATTTAGTTTGGGCTTCAGGGAAGATTAAATACAGTCTGCTGAGATGAGGCATGCTTTAAACCCTGCACTGCATTAAACCCTGACCATTTACTTTAAACAATGCCTTGCTTTGGTCTTACTAGACTAGAAAGGAGCCTCTATAAAATACACTCTCCTGGCTATGTTGTCTTCTCAGATACACCTATGCTACCCCCCAGTGAAATCCATCCTAATCTGTGTGCATAGCTGGGGATGCGGTTAAGGTCCTAAAATATCAGCCCCTCTTCAGCTAGCAGCAGAGATCTGGTTTCTCCAATACTGTCATCTGTAAATGCTTAGAACTGAGATGCAAATAAGTTGTAGTTGTGCATGTTGTACATATCTGATCATTCTGCTTGCACTGATCAGTGTTGATCATTCTGATGCTGGTGGAAATTTCAGTTTGTGGAAGTTTTCAGTGCTGATATTGCTGCAAAGGGGTGGCTACAAAAACCCAGCAAGGCTGCCCAGTTATGACTACAGCCTATCATACTGAGCAGAACGGTCTCTGTTTACTTGTGCTCACCTCTTTTTTCACCTGTTGTCCCCTGTCTTATGTTGTAAACTTACTGGGGCAGGTCAAACTGTCTTTTTGTTCTGTGCTTACAGTTCCTAGCACAATGGTTGGTGCATGAGAAGGAAACATAATGCCACTGTAATACATATAATTAACAATAGTAAAAGTGTTTGTTACAGCTTGCTGCTGGACCTGTTGAACCTGACCTTAATGCAATGATTTGCTTTCCAAAAAACATTGCATATACTGAAGGTTTTGAACTAATCTATGGGCCACTGGCAATCCACAAAAAACCTGCTGGTAGAGCAGGGAAAGTCCGTCATCTGGAACACAGGAGGATTAATGTTGTAGGGAGCAGCTGTTAGGCAGTGCTGCTAACTCTTATAGTTATATTAGACATTTATTTACTTGAGCTACTGCCACTGAAGTCCTAAGCATATGTGAGAATCACAGCTTTCACTGAAAGATGTCTTTAGCCTTCAGGGGTTCAGGAAAAAGCTTTTAAAAAGTGATTCCTGGATACTCTAAAACCAGAAGGCAGATAAAAAGAATCCCGAATTTTATTTTATTTTTATTTATTATACTTCATAATTTTAAGCCTATCTCATGATTTTTGGGGGCTGAAACCACTAGGGACCAAATTGTGATGTGTTATTTTGAATACGGCCAGTAGATGTAGCTGTTGCATGTATTAACTAGTTCTAACTTTCCAGCCCTGGCTCACAAATTCTGCTTTTCAAATGGATGTCATTTTATTTAGAGGTTGTAACTAGAACTAAAATTATTGTGATTTCAGTTTGTTTTTTCTATTTCTGTCATCTAAATTTAGGCATGAAGCTCTGTTATATTATGTTTTAGCAGCCGAGACTGGTTTTGAAGTGTCACAGACAAATTTAGCACATATCTGTGAAGAGAGACCAGTAAGTAATACACTCACAATACAATGCCCCTTTAAAACAGTGATAGTAATAACCCATGCAAATATAAATGGTTCAACTCATTTTTCTTTTCAGGAACTAGCAAGAAAATACTTAGCCACTGATTGTGTTTGGAGATACTATAATTTCTCTGTTTTTCAAGTCAATGCTCCCTCATTTGGTACGTATACTAAATCTTTTTGTTAACTCAGATTGTAATAGGTATCTAGTTTTTATATTTGGTAACAAAGAGAAGGTGTTACCAAAGAGGCTATTTGGCTGATTTCTAGCTTGCAGCTCTGGGGGGGACACTTTTAGGGGGGCTCAGTGCAAGTCTGCTTTAATGTAAATCGTCGCTGTAAATACTTTCATAAGTAGGACATCAAATGCCGTTTTCACCCCAGGAGGAAATGGCAGTCTGGGCCCGGCAGCAGGCCAGAGCTTGTTCTCTGACCAGTTCCCCATAACATTATGCTTCATTTGAAAGGGTGAGTGTTAGTCCTTGGGTTAACAGTATAATTTTGTAACTGTTGCAGAGTGTGGTTGACTGCTCGGGAGGGAGAACGAGTGCTGTTCTGAGAGAGCTGGGAAAGAAAGGGTAGAGAGAGTAGGAAGACAGAGTAGAGAGAAAGGAACAGTCCCAGGGACGACAGAGTGGAGTCTGAGGAAGGACAGAGGGACCTGCAGTGACACAAGAAAGACTGCTCATTTGGAAACAAGCAGTCAGTCGGCTGTGCTGTTTGGGAAGCCGACAATCTCATGTTCTCCTCTGAAGAAGAAAACATGCCCCCTTCTGGGAGCTGATGAAAAAGAAGGAGCTCTGTGAGGTAGGGGGGTTATGGATCTCTAGGGAAACCAGAGACAGAGAAGAGCCAGGGCCTCAAAGTCAGGTGCTTGCCCCTCAAGAAGCCATGTCAGGGTTGGCATCAAGGAGTTCTTGGAGAGAGGGAGACTGAATAGGGCTTCTTCTTCAGGGGCGTAATCCATAACAGTAGGTAATAACTTAATATCTACAGTGAAATATTCAATAACTTAACACCTACAGTGAATATAACTTCATATCTACAGTGAAATATTTATATCAGTGAACAGATTCAAGAAGAAAGAAGACTGGAGCATGAGGCCCAGCTTTTTGTAGCTGTCATGACTTGTAGCTGCCTGCCTTTGTCCTTTCATGGTTCTGGGGTCTAGACAAATGTAGATTATCCTTTTGTAGTTCAACTTTTCAATGAGAAATTCTTGCCTGTTCAAAATTCCTTTTAAGAATCGTCATGTTCCAGTAGAAATATAGCAAAACAAATGCATCTGCAGTATTCATTGTACCTTAACGCAGTTTTCTAGGACTTACCTGTTTTGTAGGTCCTGGATAACAGTTCCAAAAGCACTTAAGTCTCAATTTCAAAAATGACTTAGACATGCAAGGGTCTAAGCTAGGGGTTCCCCAACTTTCACCCCAAATATCAAAGGTTCTTTCATTTAGTATAAAATCGTTAATATAGTAAAGTACCCTTTCTTAACAGTGAGGGGGATCAGATTATCCATCTCTTGGGTCTTTAAATGAATACTTAGTGTTTTACTGGTAGATATGCTATAATCAAACATAACTATATTAAACACCATACTACTGGACAAATGACCTGTGCTGTACAGGCAGTCAAGCTAAATGATCTAATTGTCCTTTCTGGCCTTAAATTTTATGTCTGACCTCAGTGAAGACTTCTAAGTTATTTAGATGTCTTTGAAAACCTTATTCATGAATTAAATTGCTGTGTGTTCCCCAAGACACAATTTTGTGGCTTTTATGGATGGCATACAAGGAAGTGATATAAAGCTATCCAAGTGAAACAGAAACCACCACCATACTGGAGTCAAAACTGAATTGTTGGAGCCTGAAACCAGCTCAGTCCAGAGAGATTCTGGGAGTCTACAAACTGAAGGTTTTTACAATAGCTTACAAGCAAGAGCTTGTAAGTATTATTTGGGTGACAGGTCTTATTGGATTCACTGATGCCACCTTTATGTTAGTGAATCTTCTGAAGTTTATCAAACTGATAGGGTGAAATCCTGGTCCTGCTAAATTCAGTGACAAAATGCTTTTTATGTCAGGGGAGCCATGATTTCACCCCTGCTCAGGAGTGCAGTCTGTTCAATCTTTCAAACTAAAGTTTGAAAAACAAAGGGCCTTTGTATGCAGTGTAGGTTTTGATCCTACTTGAATGACGCCAGTGGCTTAAAATCCCATTAACTGCAAAGTTTCAGGATCATGCTCACTAAAAATTTATAAACTGGGAGTGGTAGAGCTTATAAATGCTGTAGCCTGAGTTCATTGGACTTTATAAACCCTGAACTCTTCAGAACAGGGTATCGTAATAACACATCATGAATTGCTCACTCACACTTGGACCAGACATCCTCTGCCAGACCATTCCTTCAACACTGAAGGTAAAAGAAGGAGGTAGTGAGCCATGGTAGTCTGAAGTTAGGCAGAAGGCAGGGCAGAGTGGCACCTTATAGACTAACTTGTTCAGAGAGCTTTCATAGGCTACAGTCTACTTTGTCAGATGCTAAACAAGAGAGATCCCATGATCACTCACCTCTGCAGAGAAGTTTAGCAATGCAGCTTCCCTGAGTTTGGGGATAGTCTTGAAAAACTACCTTAAAAAATTCTCTCTGTCAGGACAGCACAACTCTGTACTTCAGGGTGGAGTCCAGATACCATGCTTATGGATGCAAAATAAGCACCTGAATAGAACAGAATTACTTGAAGTCTGTACAAATGATCAAGTCTAGTAATTAGAATAGGCTCAGATTTCCCCCAAAAGATTATTAGTAGGTTTGCCAGAATTTGATTTTTTTTTTTTTTTTTTTTTTTTTTTTTTTTTTTTATTATTTCAATGGCTAAAATAGGTTTTATTTTTAAGCATGTATTTTATTTTTTAGCAATTAAAATTTTCAGGATTGTGCAAAATTAGGAGTGTGGGGGCAGACAATTTAGTTATGACAGTATACTGTTAAAAAGTTTTATAAATCATGTCAAAATATAAAAAATAAATATCCATAAATCAAGAAAGAATACCTGCTTTTAAATAATTCTGTTCATTTAGTACTGTGGAAGGAGGCTTATCAGGGGATTCCTGGCTGTCAAATGCCACTGACTTCCCCAAGATTCATACTGTGCTGGGAGGCAGCAGTTGCCCCGCCTGGAGCAGGAAGCAGCTCCCCTTAACCTCTTAGGAGGTGAGCCCCACCTGGTGGGTACCAATGGAGGGGTGGCCCAGCCCTTTGACAGCCATAGCCTCCTGCCCCTCTGGGCAGTGTGCGGGCAGTAGCTGGACCTCAGGAGCACCCCCACGTGCTCTGCCCTGAGCATGCAGGGCATGGAGCCAGGGTCAGCAGGAATTTGGCACCCAGTCCCTGCCTGGGATCTAGGCAGAGTGAGCGGCCAGCAGCACCAGGCTCCTGGCTGCCAACAGCCTTGGCCCTCAGTGGCAGACCCTCACTCCAGGCTCTGTCACCAGTAGCTGATATCCAACTAGCCTCCCCACCCAGAATGGCCCCCAGTACCTGCAACAGCTGTCCAAGCTTCCCCCACCTGCAGTAGCAACTGTGTGTGTATATGCACATACATGCACAGCACCCCCTGTCCTGGATTTCCTTACCATGCCCTGGATTTTTCTTTTCTTCCATCCCCTTTCTATGAATTTTGATTATTACCAATGGGAATATTTTTTGTCGGTCTATGAGTGTGAGGTGAAATTGACATTTATCGACATTTAGCAATAAAAATAAAATCCTGCAAAACCTAATTATTAGGCACTAGTTCTCAGGGAAACTGAACAAATAAAAGAATTAGAAGTTTCTAGGTTCTGAAGATTTTGAAAATTATTATTATTATTGTGGAAGCTATTATTATTGCAGAAAACATTGCACAAACTTCTTTGCAGATTTTTGCAAGAGTAGAACATATTTCATTAGTTAATCTCATAGTTTCAGAATGCCTTGGCAGACTATTATGAAATGACATCTGAAAAACAGCCCTGGGCATAAAAATAACCATGGGATGTTTCAGACAGAATATGTTTTCAGGGGGTGGAGCTCTAGCAAAAACTGAGGTTGGAATGGAAAGCTGGTCATGGTCTTAATCAAGGAGAGACAACTTCAGTTTGCATTAAATAGAAAATATATTAGATTTTCCAAATATATTGTTAGCATAATTCTCTTGATACACATACTAATGGCCTGCTGATCTTACCTTCCACAGCGTATTTGAAGATGGGAGATTTCTATTACTATGGATACCAGAACCAGTCCAAAGATCTTGAGTTGTCAGTGTGGATGTATGCACAAGCTGCGCTAGAGGGAGATTCACAGGTATGTTAAAGCAGTTATAGAAAAAAAAAAAACATTCTTGAAGCACAAGTGCTGGAATGAACTATGAGTACCTAAGGAACCAGTTACTCTGCTTGATTACTCACAGCCAGTAAAATGGAAATTCTAATTTATTTTAAGTTATTGTCAAATTCTAGAGCAGGGGTAGGCAACTCCCAGCATATCCACTAAAATGTGTTATGTGAGGGCATTTTCACTGGCATGCGCACCTTGGGATGGAGAGCTGTGAGTGGCCTGATCCTTGTTGTGGCAGTGCAGCCCTGGCCCCTTCCCTGCTGTCTGCCTCGATGCACACATGCATCTGCCACCAGCAACAAGCCAGGCCAGGGTTCTGCAGAACCTAGTGCAGCTGCTTGCAGCCTCCCTGCTGGCTGCTGCAAACAGCACAGGCTCCTTGATGGGTGACAGGGGCCTGCCTAGAGCCCAGGTCAGCTGCTGCAGGCAGCCAGGAGGCTGCAAGTGGCTGCACTGAGTCTGCAGAGCCCCAGCCTGGCTTGTTGCTGATGGTTGCATGTACACCTCAGGGCGGACACCAGGAAAGAGGCTGGAGCTATGCTGCCACAACAAAGATCAGGCCCTTCACACTTCCTCCACCATCATCTTACAAGTCAAGTTTACCCCAAAACTTGCCAACCCTAGATGTAGGGTTTGCTGTTTTACAATAAGGAAAGACAAATGCCAAGTCTATGGTGATATTTTAAGAGCTAATGATGAAGGTACTAATCTTTTTTGTGGTAGGGAAGATGCACTCTGTATAACTCTCCAATCAAACCTGTTGCCAGATATGCCAGAGAAAAAGTTGTTTTTTCTCCTTGAGGGGCTGCAAGGAAGTCTCCAGCCAGTTTCGTAATAACAATCCTGATTGGGAACCTTTGGGCATTTATACATGTGCTTCGGGAGGCGTGGGGGGGAGGCGCTTTAATTAGTGCAGCTCCGAGATCCGTGCTAATTAAAAGCACCTGGAGCATCATGTGTATCAGTGTCCCTATGCTGAAAAATGGTGGCAGGGTGCTTTTAATTAGAGCTCGTTGAACAATCTTTAGTTTAAAGCACCCTGCCACCATTTTTCAGCACAGGGATGCTGATACATATGACACTGAACTCTGCTGGAGCACGTTAATTTCCGCGCTCCAGCAGACTTGATTAATTTGAGTTTTCTCTGATGCGCTGGAATTACAGTGCATCAGAGCAGGCTTCCTGCACATGTATAGGAGCCCTTAGATACTGGTGCAGTACCTATACATATTATTACTAATAATAATAGAGGGGTATTTTCCTTGAATTCAACAGAACTTTCTTTGGAATTAATTCACAAATCACAAAAACTTCAGTTTATGCATCATCATATACTGCCAAGATATTCCAGGACACATGATCAAAGGCATTCAGTAATTTACCACAGAATGGCCAGACGTGAAGTTAGCTATGTCATTCCCTTCTGTCCTGTTGGTTACAGATACTGGCAGGCTTCAACCTCAGTCACATGACAGGACACCTAGGCTGACAAGAGACCATGAACATTTTTTGAGTAGTCTGTTCTCAGTTCCTCATAGCAGATCTCAGGTGTGATACTCTGCTGTCCTCATGCAGTGCATGGAAGTACCACTGACAGCAGAGAAATTCTTACTTGAGCTGAGCAGAGCTACCCGAGTTGGGATCCACACTGAGGATCTGAGAACAAGTTGCCAAGGCTTGTAGTAACTAGTAGTGAAAATGTGAAAGAAAAAACAAAGCTGCAATTGCTTCCACATGAGCTGACTCTTGTGCCTCTACAGTGTGCATTGAAATCAGAGATCTGCCTGAGTAGATGTAATGGTAAGATTGCGGCGAAAGCTATATGGCTTTCAGGTGCACAGTTGCAATTTGCACTGAATTAAGAAGAGTTAAATGGGAATACATGGGAGCAGAGTTTAGTTCATTTCTGCCTTCAGTTTCAACTATTGAATGTCTGTAGTAGGTGACACTTACCAGCATGATGAAATCTTCAAGTGTTATTGTATTCAGCAGGCATCTAGAAATGCTAGTTTCTGGGAAAATGGAACTGATCATCACAACAGAAGAATGCTTTTTTCATGTAAATACACTTCATATGACTACATACTTGTATGGGGGGGAAGGAACTTACGGTTATTCAGCAAAGATCACAAAATCATACTGCTCTAGGGTTTGAAAAGACTATTGTAAATGTTTACATGCTGTTCAGTAACCCAGTGAAATTTCAGTGGTACAGGATGGGGCCCTCCCTGTGTTCATCTTTATTTATTTATTATGTATATATTTCATTTGTAGGGATTCTTTAATTTGGCCCTCCTCATGGAAGAGGGCAGATCCATACCACCTCACATTCTAGATCGCTTAGAAATTGACAGGACTCTTCGTTCAAATAACATTTCCATTCTGCAGCAGCTTTATCAAAGGTGAGTCTGTATTTTCTTTATGAATCAGCCTCTTGCATTTTCTATCTGAATAACATTTTCACTTGTCAGCACAAAAAGCCGGAGTTGTTATCCTTGCTCACCTGTATCAAGTTTCACAAGCTTCAATGCTCCACTCTCAAGTGTGTGTTCCTGCCAAACCAGGGAAGGGAGAGTATGTATGATGATTGCCTGTGATAGCAGGGGAAACAGGAGGCCTCTTCCTATCTCTTTGTTCCTAAACTAGACACCAGTATTTTGTATCTGCTATATTTGTATCCATTGCCAAAGGAAAAAGGCCAAAGTTGTTTCTTCCTCTTAGGGGGAATAGCATACCTACCCAGAAGAAAAGAGGAGGCTATTAGATGAGCTGTTGCATATATCTCTACATATTTCCTTTAAACACTTTCCAGCTCTTCAAATAAATTTGTTCAGCCCTTCTCAGTCTTATATGTGTCACACTTAAGTGAAAGCCCAAGGTTAGATCTTCAGTCAAAGGAGGATTTGGGCTGGGCATATCGATATACATCCTAAGCTCCATTTTCATAAGAAATAAAACACTTCTGTCCTCTCCTTGTACCCCACACTAAGCACATCAAGTATGGTGCACATTCCCTGCTCCTCCTAACCTCCTTGACTTTCTCCATTTTCTTCTCTCAACCCAAGCAGGCCTCTCCCATAACGGTCAGCCTGGCTTTCCCCAGACTTGCTGGTTTCAGGATATGTCCCTCCAGGACAAGTGTGCCACAGATGGGCCTGGTGAATGCCTTAACTATTTAGTGGGGTGTAGGTTGTAGCTGTGTTGGTCTAAGCACATAGGCAGACAAGGTTCTTTGGGTAAATCTAATATCTTTTATTAGATGAACTAAATAGTTGGAAAAAAAGTTTTTAGCAATCTTTTGGGTTTAAAAACCCTTCATCAGACTGAAGAAGCATCTGCAGTTGGTGTGTGCTCTTCCTGGACTCATTAATTGTTTAGCAGGCTCATGTAATAAGGCCAGATCAGAGCTCTAATATCAGCCAGTCCCAATCAGAAAATCAGGACAGTTCATCCCCTGAAGTTGCAGAAAAACAGGCACCATCTGCAGTGAGCCCAGATCATGCCCTGGGCCCAGCTCATCCTAATGATGCAACCAGGGCAGCCAATCCCCTGAAGCCACAGGCGATAAACTCCACCTGCTTCAACCTTTGAAAACTAGGCCCAGCTTGCAGTACTCTGGGCAAAGACTTAGTTATTGTTCCTGACCTCCCTATGCTTTACTGCTCCTCGTATTGGATCTCTGACCCAATCTCAGCTTTAGCTTTTGATTCTGGTTCAGACACCTGGTATATCCCAACACTGGCTCTGAACTTTGGCATATCCTGACTCGGATTCTGGCTCTAATGTACCTGATTTGGCTCTGGTTCCTGATTCACCCTGACTCTGTGCAACACTAGTCAGGCTGCAGTTGAAGTACTGCATCCAGTTCTGGACGCCGCACTTCAGGAGGGATGTGGACAGCATCGAGAGGGTCCAGAGGAGGGCCACTCACATGATCAGGGGGCAGCAAGGCAGGCCCTACGAGTAGAGGCTATGGGACCTGAACCTGTTCAGCCTCCACAAGAGAAGGCTGAGAGGGGATCTGGTGGCCATCTACAAACTGGCCAAGGGGGACCAGCAGGCTATGGGAGAGTCCCTGTTCCCCCGAGCACTACCGGGAGTAATGAGGAATAACGGCCATAAGTTGACCGAGAGTAGATTCAGGCTAGATATCAGGAGGCACTACTTCACAGTCAGGGCGGCTAGTATCTGGAACCAACTTCCAAGGGAAGTGGTGCTTGCTCCTACCCTGGGGGTCTTCAAAAGGAGGCTAGACAATCACCTAGCCGGGGTTGTTTGACCCCACCATTCTTTCCTGCCCATGGCAAGGGGTCGGACTTGATGATCTGCTCAGGTCCCTTCCAACCCTACCTACTATGAAGCTATGACTTGGGGCAAACCAGAAGCTGATGCTGGACTCCCAGTGCCTTGGGTACCCAGCTCCTGGAATCACCTGTGTATGATGCATCCTTCCCCAGATGCCCACACCCCAGTTCCTAAGAACTTATTCATATCCCTCAGAATGTGCAATCTGCAGTCATTTTCTTCCTGGGTGTAGGAGGACTTTGAAGCTAAACTCTAGTGTCAGGACCCCAGGGCTTGAGCCCTGGTCTTCCAGCACCATCAAGCATCCAGCTGGGTGCTGGATCTAGCCCGGCCTGAACCTTCCTGCAAGGTTCCCAATAGAAAATCATGTGACCCAATGGGAGCCACCAGGCCCTAGTGGGAGGGCTTTAAAACCCTTTGACTTGCTGCAGGGCCTAGTTCTTGCAAAAGTGTTCATGCTTCTGTTTTCGTTGTTGTGGATCTCTTTGCCTGACTCCAGTACTCTCGCTTCTTTCCTGGACCTCCTGGTTCTGAAACCCTGTCTTGCTCCTGCCTTATGTCTACCTTGACCCTCTCCCTGCTGTGTCCTGCCCCTGTCTCGCCTCTGCCTTGCACCCTCATCTCATGGATTCCTCATCTCCTGACCTCTGGCCTTGCCTTGCCCATGTACTCACTTGATTCCCTGACATGAACCATTGGATTCAGACTGACACTTGGTACTGCGACCCTCATCTTGGCTTCTGGACCAACATTATTGTAGCCTCTCAGTTTCTGAACCCTGATTCCCCTGCATCTGGGTCATAACCATGCCATTTAGATATACCTTTTATTGCACTGGATAAATAGATGCTGAAGATACTGGAAGATAGTTATACAATTTGGTTCCTTTCTTCCACCCCTTCTGCCTTCTCTCCCCTCCCCCCAACCTACATGTCCACTTCCATGCCTATTCAGGATATCACCTATCACAGTATCTTAGGGTCAAAGATTACTTTTAACACAAGTCTACTGCAAAGGACCCAAGTCCCCCTACTTTCCCCAGGAATTTACAGTCTCTGTGGGCATGTCTACACATGTACACTTACTGTGCAGTAATTTAGGTTATTATTATTGCATGGTAACTATGGTGACTTGCACCAATTTGGGCATAAATTTTCTACCTACATGATGCAGGTATCAAATTTATGTCCAAGTAGTTACTGTGCAGTAACACACGTGTAGATGTGTTACTGCACAGCAACACTGTGTGTGTGGACCAACTTGGGACTAACTTTACTCCCAAGTCAGTCTGCACACAATATTACTGCACTGTAATGCCTGTATGTGTAGATGCCAGCTTAAAAACTGTGTTTTTAAAAAAAACCAGCTCTCAGTTCTCAGTATCTTAGGGTAAAAGATTACTTTTAACACAAGTCTACTGCAAAGGACCCAAGTCCCCCTATTTTCCCCAGGAATTTACAGTCAGGATTTAGAGATCAGGGTCATGGAAGTGCTTCATCAAAATATCACTGAGAAAGTAATGTCCTTTCATGTCTCATGGCTTCAAATCACTTCTGTCACACAATATGTTTAGTGCAGATTGAGAAGTCTGCAACACTGGCTGGCTTTACAAATCAAACACAGATATTACTCACTTGTAACTCATGTTGGGGATTGGACTAGATGATCTTGTGAGGTCCTGTCTAGCACTGCTTTCCTATGTTTGTACAGGAGACCCTCGTCATTCGCAGGGGATACATTCCGGAGATCCCCACAAATAACGAAATCCTCAAATACTGACGGGCTCCCTGTCAGACCCCACAGCTGCCCCCTGCTCCCCCCCTATTGTTCACGGGGCTCCCCTGCAGCACCTGGGGAGCAATCCCTTCCCCCCCGAGCACTACCACGGCTGCTGCCAGGAGAGAAAATGCTACCACTGCCTCCCTCCATGTCCCCGGGCCTCGCTCTCCGCCTGCCTTCCAGTTCTGCCCTCCCCTGCAAGTATTTGAATCTGCGAATCCGGAGTTTGTGAATAACGAGGGTTTCCTGTATTATTTTCACAGAGACCATGTCTACATGTGACACTGACTGCACAGTAGCCCATGACTACCATTAAGTAGTGTCGCATGGCAGAAAGCATGACACAATACTACTGTGCAGTAATCTCGGGCTCCTGCACAGTCAGTGTCACAAAAAAGCTGTTTAGCAACACTACTGCACAGTAACTCAAGTTACCATGCAGTCAGTTAGTACTTGTTTATACAGTTGTTTATATAACTGTGTATACAAGTACTAAATGACTGTGCAGTAATGACTATGCAGTCAGCATCTTGTGCAGATGTGGCCAGAGTTGATCACTTTCAAGAAAGATACTGCTGTTCCTTCTGTGATGGACTCAACATTGCAGTGTTTCAAGAGAAGCAGTTTTCAATTCTCTACCTCCTTTGGGAACAATCATGTTATTTCTCATACTGCAAAATAGTCTGCAACTTGGCAAATATGTAAGGAAGGTTGGGTTAGTGGCTAATAGACTGAAATAAGTATTCTTATTCCTGCTCTGCCCTTTAAATTGTTGTGTGGCTTAACATAAGATTCTGAGGGGCAACACTACCATCCTTTCTCATAATAATCCATAAGTATTTTTCCTGGGTTACATGTTCATTGTAGTTAGACTGGGCTCTTACTCATCATGCTTTGAGATTCTCAGATGCTGCTAACTATTACCTGTCCCTTTTACCTAAGTCAGGTGAATTAACCTCTGAGTTAAGAGTATAGGATTCACTTTCACTTAGGTAACCTGGTCACTTTGAAGTGAGGATAATACAGGCTCATATACGGGCAGCATATCACTGGAGTGTTGGCAGTCTTTCACTGCTTTCACACAGTTTATTCTGGTTGTCCAAAAGGATGGAAGGATTCTTTAAAGCAGCGATCAGCATTTTTTAGCAGTGAGCCAGAATGACCCAGATCAGGTGCAACGCTCTAGGACCCAGCCATTGCTGCTTCTGGCTGTGACCCAGGCACAGCTCTCCACTATCTGGCTGTGGTGCAGGTAAGGCTCCTAGCCATGGCATGGATGAACCTCCCTACCACCTGGCCAAGCAAAGTCCCCCACTGCCAGAATGCTGTGAAAGCTGCTAAGCTCTGTGGGCTGGATATAAAGGCTCCATGGGATGGATTCAGCCCATGGACCATAGGTTGCCAACCCATGTCACAACCCTAAGTTGTAAAGCATAACTTAGTCTGAGTAAAAGTAAGGCTCATTTTACTCTTATACAGGCTAATTTATACCTTACTTTAGGGCAGTGTTTCTCAACCCATGGGTCGCAATCCAAAAGTGGGTCACAAGAATATTTGAAAGGGTTACAAGCAAGTTCCAGAAAAACATGGGGAAAGCATGGGTTTCACCTTGCAGGCTGGCAGCATTCCAGCCTGCAAGGGGCTGCTTGGGGTGATTGGCGGCAGCGGGCACATATGCACAGGCATGTGGCCAGCATGCAGCCAGGCAGGGTCATGGGAGCAGCTCCAACAACTGGATGCAGGTAAGTGTATGGGGAGCTGGGGTTGGAGGTCCAGGGCTTGGGGACTGTCCAGGGGGCTGTGTGTTTGTGTGGCGGGAATGGGTGTGAGGTGGGGGCCTGCCAGCACTGGGGGAAGGTGGCTGGGCACCAAGGCTGTGGCAGGGCAGGAGAGGTGGGAGAGGAAGGCGCCTGCCCCTTCAGTGGGGAAGGGGCGGGTCTTTCAGGGGAAGCAGGGAGCTGTGTGGGTGAGCCGGTGGCACCGGGGCTGGTGCCCATACTCGCTGGGGCATGGCAGCTGGGAGACAATGCTTGGAGGGTGGGAGGGGCCATGACCAGGCTACTTAGTGTGATGCCAGCAGGGCTGCCACAAGCCTCCCCACCTCCTCCCTCCAGCCCATGCTGAGGCCAGATTCACCTCACTGCCGCCCACATGAGCCAGAGCTGCTGCAGCCACCACGCTCTAGTCCAGACAGGACACGGGCAGCCCCCTCTGGCAGGGCTGGGAGGGGCAGGGGGCTATGGGTCAGGATTGGCCATCTATCTTTACAAATGGGTCCTGGTACAAAAAAGGTAAAATCCTTTCAGATGGCTAAATTGTAAATGCATACAAAAGTACAAAGAACTACTATTAAATATTCAGCACCTTTTCTTCTTTGTTGTTCCAGGTGCTGGAATCATAGCAACCAAAATTCCATTAGTCCGTGCTCATTAGCATTGCTTTATTTTTACTTAAGAGTTTTCTGGAATAACATTTTGCCTTCTACTCAGGTATGTATTATTTCACAGTCATATTCATGAATACAGTTACAGCCAATACATTGGTTGCCTTTGCACCGGATCTAAAATACATTTCTAAACTTGTCACAGATCTACTTCATGGGAACCTTTCTTGTTTCAATACTGATCGCATTTGCAGTACAGTATTTTCAGTCTCTATCTGGTAAGTGTTTGTTATGGTAAGATTGAAACAATCTAAAAAATAATTTAATACTTAAAAGATAACCAATATTGGAATTTCTGGAGTAACTAGTAATGGGCTACAGTCTCATCTCAAAGGGCCCATAAAACTTCACCGGAGTTGATCTGACATCTAGAAATAGTACCATTGCCTTCAAAGAATCTCTGCAGGGATATAAGTGTACAAACTCAGGCCTTAAATATTGCATAGTAATTTATTGCCATATAAGTAATTTGGAATTTTATATTAAATATCAGATTATGTTATACGCCACAGTTTGCAATTTGCTTGAAAATCATCCTAATCACATAATATATTGCTTGTAATGCTGTGGGGCTTTTTGAGCATCCTAAATTACTAGTTTTAGCTTCATCTGTTAAATTACTAATAAATCACTTGTGTTTTATTATTGAGGCCTTCCCATTTTTAACATAAATTGTACTTTCAAAACTGTATGCTCCTTTGATTTTGAATACAGTATTACAGAAATAGAAAAGACCTAATCCTCCAACGTATTTCTCTGCCAGGGCAGGACATTCTTTTCCTATGCTTTTTCTAAGGGATGGGCACATGAATAAATAGCTGTGACAAATGATGATGGGGACCTACAGCATTTCAGCTGCCACATGTGCACTGATCCTATAACATGAATGCTACCCCATGGTAGCTTGCCCCTCAGTGAGAGGCTCTCTTTTTATCACAGAGTCGAAGCATGCGTATGAGAAGTTATAACGGAGATTATGTCTCTTAATTCCCCACTCTGTTTGTTACAGTAATTTTTTCACGCTTTTGTCTGTAGTATTTTGTCCAGTCTGCTTTCAAATGCTCTAAATGATCCACTACTACTCTCCTTGGGAGACTGAAAAAAAACCAAGAAAATATCTGAAAACAAACAATAATGAGATTTACTGGAACAATTACACTCTCTTTAGCTTCTTCTGAATTTTAATAGTCCTAATCGCATCCAGTTTATCTCCATCATTATCTCTCCCTGCATTATGTTCCAGCCTGCTTAGTTATTGCTTATAAAAATGATATTGTATTATGTTGTATTGTGTTGCATTTAGCTCTTTTACTCCTACGTCATAAGTCAGTCCATTCAGCCTCATGAATATTTCTTTCCCATCTCTGATTTCCTTCCTTCTCTTGAAATCATACTAGTGAACAATATCTTGCTTCCTGTTTGCAGATACAGATCATACCATGAAAATTTAAGTAAATTAGTATAATGGAAATAAAACAAACACCCCCCACAATGAAATGGTTTAGTATTTTTCATGTTTCTAATTCATGTCAAACATGTAGTTAGCATCAGATTAACCAGCAATCAAAGGGATTTTTAATCCAACCTTTATTTCAAGGTTCACAGAAATAATTAGGTTGACAGCCGAGATCAGTTCTCTCTCCCACATTACCCTATATATTAAGTCTTTTTAACGTGTAAGTAATTCCTTGACCCTTACATTTGTTACTGAGCTCTGAATAAAGCCTGAAACTGATGGCTGGTTTAAACCTGTTAATATCTGACCAACTATGTTAGGTAAAAGAGATTCCTAGTATAGCATTAACTTTGAGAGATAATGGAAAAAAAGATTATTTCCTTTATAGTTCTTATATCTCCCAGCATGTAGTACTGCCTGAGTAATCACTGATGAGTTTGATTTTAGGTGACTTTGACTTTAGATACCAGATGCAATGAGCTGTGTTCCTGTACTCAAATGCAGAGAGGTGGGTACAGCCAGCCAGTTGCATAACAGTGGTTGAGTAGCAGCTCTAATTTACTCTGCATGTGTAAGATACTTCAGTGACCTTATACTAGTTGAGTATCAATTGAAGCAGAGCTTGTATAGCTGAAAATAGATCAGGAGGACTGGAAAATCCTGCACAGTGTTCTCTTTTCTGATAAGGAGAAAGGAGAAAACATATCACACTTTAGTCTCTTAGGACTGCCATCTAAAATGACTTATCTTATTTTTTGATTTAAGTAATATCACAGAGAAAAATATGTTCTAGTGGAGGAAAAAAAAAATCACAATATATGATAGCTAATGATCTGTTAGTCACCAAAGGTGAAGAGCACAGCACAGTCAAACACAAATAAAAATACTAATTTGAGACCACAGGCAAGCTTGCATTTTAAAAATGAGACTGAATCTTTGACCAGAAAATTAGTATGTGGGCAAATGAGGGAAATAATGTGTTCATTCCACTATAGTTTCTTGCACACTTAAAACAGTTATCTTTTAACCTTCACAGAGTTGGCAAACACTGACGACATTTTTATTTTTAGAGAATGAAGTAAAATGAGTTATACTAAATTTCAATATTCTGTTTTGGTGTTTTTCTAAAGCCAGTGATTCTCATGCACAAAGGCAAGAACAGTCTTCAGATGAACTTTCCTCCACAGAAAATGCCAATGATACAACATCAACAGAGCAAGAAGAATCTACTCTCACAAACAATTTAGCAGAGCAGGAGTTACACCTTAGCTGATCAAAAGAGGATGTGGAGGGTTTAATTTTAAGGTGTTGAAATCCTAAAATAAACATTACGAAGTTGTGGACATGACGAGTGTTTACAAAGCTAGAAATTCAAAACTGTATTGAATGGTTTTAATAATACACTTCATAGACTAACACCTCCTGTTACTTACTTTGGGACAAATCAGCTGATCTTATTTATCTCTCATTAAAAAATGTGAGAATTTTAAGAAATCCAAACAAAGAATATATCCTGAAAATGTCCTTACACTGTGTAAGTAAATATATTGTATGGTCTTATTTTCAGCTAGAACAAAAAAAAGAGTAAATTCCAGCCATATTGAAATCAATGGCAAAGTTCCCACTGCCAAGATTCCACCCTAGGATCTAATATTTTATCAAACAGCATGCATCTCGCACAAATGTCATACCAGCACAGTTAAAGGGAGTAGGAATGTGAATAAAGAATCATATTCCTTACTGACATCATATGCTAGCCAAAATCTTGATGTGGCATGTCCATACTGATATTTAGGTCAAACCTGAGGGTTGTCTTCAATTAGCTTAAGCCAAAAGAGTTTCCTTTCTCCCACATAAAACTTATTTAGTGACCATTGTACAATTTATTTCCTGTTTGAGTGGCTCCCTTGTAGAATTTAGTTTGCTGTATATTTGTCTTTCCCTCTGGACTTGGCTCTCATTAGTGCCAGTAGAGATGGGAAGAGGACTGAAGAAGATCTGAAAATCTAGAACAGAAAGTTGTGGGCTTCCTGCTTACTGACTTCCTGAGCTTGCAATCAGTAGTGCCCAGACATGCTGAGGGCGTGCATGCGTAGCAGCAAGATTGGCTTTTGACATTGATCCAAGTTCCAAGTTCAGGCTGGATGGCTACCAGGGGTCAAGCAAGGGGGTTTCCATTGTCAGCATATTTGGGTTTCATGACATTTCTAAGTTCGCCCCAAGTACGTGTGCAGACATACTTAGGTGTGCCAGAAAAATAATCCTTTGGCCAATCAAGCTTATTCCATTCAGAAAACTGGTTTCAACTGCATCAGCAAAATAAATCTTACTAGCATAAGTTGCTAGCATAAGCATATCTAACACCATAATGCAGGGTGCTGTAGAGGGGAAAAAAGAGGTAGACCCAAGAAGAGCTGGGAGGCTGGGGTTTCAACTGACAGAGTACACAGGGCTAGCCAAGCACAGGGCAGAGTAGAGGAGGGTTGTTAAAGCATCTAAGGTGCCCCAACAGTCACAGTGGCCTCAGAACTGACTTGACATGCCTTCAGCATAAGTTGTGATTCCAAGAGGAGGGTTTACCAACAAACTCTTGTAAGTATGGACATGTTCTTAGACACAGTCTTCAAAGCAAAAGACTGGAGGCCCAGCTACCAGCCTTTTGCTTTGAAATCATTGGGTAGTTGCCCAGGAGACACACAGCAGATAAGGAGTATCTTCCTCACAAAAAGAAGTGGAAGGGCCACAGCGGGCACTAGGGCTGTGAGAAGCTTCTGTCCCCGATTCAATTCGGCCCGATTCAGTGGCTGAATCTCTGAATCCGAATTGAATTAGACAACCTTTTAATCTCTCTGAATCGAATCTGTACCCTCCGAATCAATTCAGAAAGATTTGAAGATTCAGAAATAGAGAGAACTTTAAATGTTTTTTTCTACCTACCTCTGGGTAGCAGGCGGCTCGTGAATGCTGTGATGCTGGGGCACATGGAGCATCCCACAGAAGCACAGGGGCTCCCCAGCGCACTCGGTAGCAGACCCAGAAATGGACCAGAAGCACTTTCAGTCCACTTCTGGGTTTGCTGGGGAGCGTGTTGGGAGGCTCCCCCACACCCTTCTGGCTTGGCAACTGGTGACTCCTGGGTCTGAGGGGGACACCCAGGGTCCCCCTGTGGCTGATTGCCAAGCCGGGGAGGCCCGGGGAAGCTGACAGCCCACTCCCCGGCAGACCCAGAATTGGACCGGAAGTACTTCTGGTCCACTTCCGGGTTCACCACTGAGCATATGAAGGGCCCCCCTGCACACCTGTGGGACACTCCTGTGCATCACAGCGAGCCATGCCTGCTACCTCAAGGTATGTAGAGAAAACTTTTAAAGCTGTGACTGTCTGAATCGCTGATTCTCCGAATCAGCATCGAATCTTCAGATTCAGATTCGGCCGAATCGAACTGGGGACAGTGATCCAAATCAATGAATCAAATCACTGTCCCTGATTTGAGCCAAATCCGAATTGAATAGGGCCCGCTTTGCACACCCCTAGCAAGCACGTCTATACAATCTCTTTCCTGATTCCAGGACCACTGCCAACAAACTACACCCCTCCCATTTATTCCCACTTAGGCACATATATTAAGTAACTGGGCAGAGAATACAGTTTGGGAGGTGTCTGAAGTGACTCGATGAAGCCCTGCATGCATGGTCTAGTGCCAACCTTAGGTGAGGTCAAGAGTTACATTGGGAGACAGCTCAAGTTCTTTACTTTTCCTAAATTGTCAGTGTTTGGTGCAGTACTGAGTGGGCAGGGCTTAGTTGTAGCTGTGGCATGGGTAGGGTGGCGAGGGAGAACATGGCCAATGAAGTCAGTCAGCAGTTGCTTCTTAAATTCTTATGGGGGAACCTAAGAAGATTTCTTTCCTGTTTTACAACATATTGTAAATTGTCCTTAAGAAAAATATTAATTAGGAGTCATTTTCATCTAATAAATGTGCTAATCAGGCCAGTCAGGATACCTGAATTTACTAGTAGCAGTCGTAGAGCACAGATCTCTGGTGTCTGATTCTAAGGCTACGAGAGGTGAATGGATGCAGGAAAGGTGTGACTGTATGTGTACTATACACATATGGAATTATGTAAATTATAAGTACTTGTTTCAATCTATGCATAATTGAAAGTTTAATTTCCTTCCTTTCGCAGCTTTATCTACAAGAGTAAATAAAATTATTTTTCTATTGGAAACTGTATGGAAGTGTGTTTTTGTCTTGTCTTTTTACTTAACATTCCAGTCACTCCCAAAATTTGGCAACAATGAGCTGGCATTCAAACATATAATCGGTGCAAGTATCCTTATTAAATTTGGTAACAAGCATGATTCTTTTGGCCAAAAACAAGGAAATACTAGAAACAAGAGTAATTTCAGGTTTGGGATTTCTTTTTCTTAGTTTTTTGACAAAAATGAAAATGTTTTGTGGCAACAGACCATCCTAGCAAAAACTTTCATTTGGTAAAAAAAACCCTCAATTTGTTTATCAATTTTTTAAAAAAGAATTCTTGGCCAGCTCTAAAGTTCACATCAGCAGCATTATCAGAATATCTGCTTTGAGCCTGTATCTTGTTACTAAAATATTTATGTTATTTTAGGTAAGAAAAACAGCTTTATCATAGAATAGTCTTGATTTGTTTGCAATATAGTACATTTCATAGCTATATTGTGTATCATAGAGAATTTGTGAATGAAAAACCATATTGTTGCCCATCTAGCAGTTATCTTTACTTATGGCCTATTCTCAGGGCCCTGCTACACATTCAAATTAAAGTGGGATAGAAACCAGCTATAGAATTATTGCACATTTTCAAGCACTAACTTTGTAGCTGTTTAGATCTTTTTATAGCTCAATAGTCATTTTTAGGGTGTGATAATTACTTTGCAGATGTGGCTGGTCTAAATCTACTGCATGATTAACCAGTTAATTGTGTGATAATTATCTTTTATGTGCGGCCAGTCTTACTTTGTGCATGTGGCAGGTCTAAATTCATTTAACCAGTTGATTGCATAATATATGTAACATATAGCAGGGGTGTCATTTATATTTAGGATCCACTGGCAATATCAAGGGACCTTAGTGGGCATTAATTACATTTAAAATGTAAATGATGGTCAGGCTTCTAGTGTTATATCACATTATCCACATGTATCTACTGCAAATTTTCTCCTCGGTGTTGTTGAGCTTGTTTTAAATGGTAGAAACTTGCTATATTATATTTGATCTCACACATTATAACCAGAACTCTTTACAAAACCCACAGGCTTTATTATAATGGAAATAATTCAAATATAATTTAAAAGAAAGAACTGACTTTAAGACACATGGCATTATATGTTTGTACTTTATCCATGTTTGTATTAAAACTCAAATAGATATTATTTTGGGAAAGAGATTTTATTCAGTCAGACACAACTTTAATTATGGAGAAGCTGCTGTCACAATACAGTATTTTTAACATGGTACCTTCTTTAAAAAATGTGTGTTGTTAGTTGTCTAATTTGCATGTACAATTACTATAAGTATATGCAAAAATAAGGTACTTATATATGCAAATGGTAGCTTTGCCTTCCAGTAGCCATTTATGTTAAACCAGTTTTAACATATGGTTTGTATGTTATGACATGGGTCATAACATCCATATGAATCACTGGGTTTTGCATGCAGAGTTGCAATTTTCAAACATCATGAGTAAGATCATATTCTTATGGGAGTTGGAGTTAATGTCTGCTGACTTTACTGGTTCCACACTGGTACTCAATGGGCTAATCTACAAATTCATTAATGTGCCTTTACTACTGAGCATTAAGTTTAGTACCTCTAACATGAGGTGCTACATAAAGGCACATTAGCCTGCTCTACTGCACAGTACCAAAGGCAAACCATTTTTTTATGACAATGTGAAGTAGACTAATTCTACTGCACATTAGCTCACTAGGACAGGTTTTGCCATGATGTGCTAATGAGCAGTAGAATAGGCTACTGCACATTACAGCATCTCATGTAGACTCACTCAATGTGTATTAGGTTTAAGTTATGTGCAGAGGGGTCAGAGTTTAAACTA